AACTTTTGCAGCTGAGGAGAAAGTCAAATATTAATTTTTAAGCGAAGAAGCAAGGGCCTCTCCTGCATGTCCTTTATCTGTCAAATCGTGTACGCTGCACATTCTCACGATAACATCAGCTATGTAATAAGGTATTTAATAAATTGTAGGCATGTTAAGGCGAGAGCACCTTTTTTTGCAACATTTTTCACAAAAATGTTTCATGACAAACCAATTTGTTTTGCAAAATGATAACATGGGGTTTGGTTTACGTAGCAACTTGGCAGCGCTTCACAAACCGAATTACTATGAAAAAGTTTTTGAAAATTTTTAAGCTATGGTTAATTAGATTATGTAATACCCTCAATGTTACTAATAAGCCATAAATATAGCCAAATTGCATAAATTCATGGACCAAATTAAATAATTCGCAAAATTTATACAAGTTCGTGTGCTAGGGTGGATTTCGGGATTCAAAGATGAAGTTGAATTAGAGTGTGGCATGCTCTTCGAATCCGGATAATTATTTGGTAGATAATCTTCCTTGACCCTATATACTCATGTATAACTCTATAATTATGTATATCTGAGCACGAGAAATATGTAACTGCAGACACTTTTTCATCGGAAAGTTTTCCCCCAAGTAGGTGGTGACGAGACGAGAGATAAAATATGGGAAAACTTTCACCTCACCTGCTCAACTGACAGAGTAAAAGTGAAAGAAATAATGAAGAATTGCAAAGTCCACTCAGAAACTCATTCATTGCACAAAACCCATAACCATAACTCTCCCCTCTTCGTCATCCCAGTCTCGTAATGAGTCAAACTTTCTCATCTTAGGATGAAGTCGTAAATTGCAGTAAATTGCATCAACCGACAAAACCGCTGGTAAGATCTGCTGAGTGCATCGTTCTGGAAGTTATTAATTATTATTAAAAAATTCATTGGTAGAATACCGCAGTAATTTTGGTCACCAAATAAGTACCGTTTTTTACCTTAATTTGTCTGAAATTTTAGTAATACTGAGCAGCCTAACTTTTCTGCGTTGACAGAGAACCAAGACGTCACATGTTGATAAGATAATTAGATAATCCGTACATGCGTACGAAATCTAATAAGAACAGGGCAAAGAAATACATGGTGTCACGTCAAAATTCATTTATTTATTTCGCAACACTTCCGCCTGCCATATTGGAATTGGCAGAGAAAACTGATGCTCCATAACGCCAAGTTTCATTGGCAATGGGAATTTACTAACTCACTACATATCATATTCCGTCATTTGCCAGATATCATGTGTCACTGGCAGAAGGAGCATTTTCTCCCCTCGCATGCCACCCACTGCCAAAGTGAGAATTTCTCTTGAACACATAACGAAAAGAGATCTGTTCAAGATCCATTTGATACCCACTTTTCCAAGCAAGTTAGTAAACAGTAAGGATACGTGGGACAAATAGCCATTTGTCGGATAAAGTAGGGAAAATTGACCCATCTTTTGATCCACTTGTGCGAACTGTACAAAGTCGAAGGACTTTTTCTCCTTTTCTGACGACAAGAACGTTTATTTGTGAACGATGGAAAATATATTTCTTGGCTGCCTAACAAAACATAAAAGAAGAATGGAAATTGGGAGTGCGAAAGTGGGACGTCATGTTCAATATGTGGCGTCGTACTTGATTTCATTGTTTGCCTTCTCTCCCTTTTCTACTCTCCTGATGGAATGGAATACAGACGTGGAAACAATTTGGAAGATTGGGTTAAGAAAATCGCATTTTTGTGGGAGCTTATACCGGATCAAGAATCAAATCTAGTCCTGGCAGGAGGTAGATGAGCCTGGTTTTCCTGAGAATCCACTCCCATCGTCGTCGTTGTCGTCGTCCCCGTTGTTGTCGTCACGTAAAGCTATTTTACATCAACTGTGGCAGAACGAGAGGGTTGCTAAAGAAACTTTATTCTTGTGAAAGTGAGGACTGAGATGCGATTATTGTTGTGAAACAGGAAAGCAATGTACACTCGGGCCGTCGTCCACGTCGCAGAAAACACCAGCAGCACACGGTGGCAATTCCTTTTACTTTACTTTTCCATGCATGCTTTCCCCAAAGAGGGAAAAGTTTATTAAGGCTGGCGAAACACGGCGTCGTGGACCCCAGATCTCCTTGCCAAGATCGACACGACTCTTTCCCTCGTTTTGTCAAAGTTTCTCTCTCCTTTTCAGGGAAAACTTGTGGACAAAGTTTTACAAGGAAATCCCTCATCTCATTATCTCACAGTTTTCCCAATCTATTTTACAAGAAAATAGAGAAACCGCACCAGCACGGGAGAGTAATGGAGATTGAGGATGTCCAGGTTGACCCGCTCCTTATAAAAGTTTTTCCCTCTATTCCCAAGAAACAATCTTTCTCGGATTAGCGAAATAAAACAAAAAAGGAAAAGTTGTGAAAAAGAGGAGAAACTTAGGCGTATGTACATTTTATCCCGGGTTGTATAACGTATTGTGCCAATATTGACGGAAACATGTGTACGATGAAATCACTGGCAATGAAATAAAAAAAAGCTTGATCCCCGTCTACACACTTTTTAAGCAGTGAACAACTCAAGGCCAGATGGAATGGCAGTTAACAGAATCTGTTGTGCAACTGGAAGCACGATTTAATAATTATTCCCAAGTGAGAAATGCACTTATTTTTGTTCTCGCACTTAAGCACCTTTCTTTAGCAAGTGGGATTTACTTTAAATCCAAATCCGGGCCAAACCGCAACGATTTACGTTCTCCTCGTGTTATTTCTTCCTGTAGGGAAAAAGTCTTTGTGAAAACATGAAATCGGTTTGGGCTATGTCGAACAAGGAGCAGAAGTAAGATCTCAATCTCTGCTTAACATTTCCTCCTCCGGTGTAGCAAGTAGTAGTAGCAGTCGTTTTTTAAGAGGGCGGAAAAAGGCAGCCTTAAATTCTTGGAAGTTCGGATGGACACTTATGGCCTCTAAATACCCGGATCCACTTTCTCTGTGACATTCGAGAAAAAAGGGATGCCGCATAAACACAATAAAAATAAAGAAGGAAATGATTCATTTTAATGAGGAATTTACTCTCCATGCACTTTGATACACAATTTTTGCATGGGACACAATAACTTTTTTATGTCGCTGAGTTAAGTCATGTCACCGGGTTGAATTTAGGGCGGGGTCAGCCGACAGGCTTGACATTTCATGAAAATTTCGAATAATTTTGAACGTAAAAGGCTTCAGCATAAAGAAAAGAAAAGAATCTGGCACTCTGGAAAGCCAACTTTCTTTCAGAAAGAATAGGACACTTTCACGAATTGAATGACCTCACTTGATTATTTCTCAAAATTCTATGTACTCCACGATGCAATTTATTCAGCGACACAGAGTAACGTTCTTATATTGAAATAATCTATTTTTAGAAATTATAACCATTGGTTTTACATATAATATCAGGAAAAAACTGGATATGGAATGAAGTGGGTTATCACAACCACCCGTTGATAAAAACCACTCCACTACTGCCTTGTCGCTTCTCTGCTGCGTATGATTAATGGTCGCTTTTAAGCCTCACGTTTCCCATTTTGTTGTGATTTTCATACATATTCATTTGCTTTTGAGTAGAACAGAGTAATTTAGTAGCGCCGAATACGTATCTATATTTCCACGAATTTTTGTAGTAACAAAAATGAAGGAATAAAATATGTAGAAAGAAAAAAATATTTAACTGAATTCGGAAAAGTGTGTACATGCGGATTCATTATTTCTGAACCGTTGTTTGGAATGTATCCACTTAATTTTTATTTTATTCGGGTTTCGTTTACGGAATAAAATCATGCCGGCGTTCGTTTATCCGCTCTGAGAATTAAGGCTGGAGGAAGAAATTTGCAACGCCTGTTTTGGATGTTTTTTTTAGATTGGGTAGGATTTTCTCTTGGGAGGCCGAATGTAAATGGAAAACTGATACATCTCATTTCTGGAGACTCAACATTCCGAGGAAATTCATTTATGCATGTACACACGTAACATGCAACCCTGTTCTTTTGGCACATATGCAAATCTGAATGTAAAGTACGAGTGAAGGGGTGAGTTCATCCATAAATTATTTGGCGAAGAATGAAATTTCGGGTTAAAACAAAAAAACCTATCAGTACAGCTTTGCTTAGCCCGAACCAGGTTTAGTAAACCCATGTTTCTCAGTAGTTTTCTATAAAATTATGTGCTACTATTTTACACTAATTTTTGCATTAACTTGCATCAATCTTTCGTACTACTAGGCTCCAAATTCTAAAAATATGTACTATCCATTGCCCTTGACTACTTCCCAGTGGGGGTCGCCTCTACAGCCCATATGGTTAATTTGTGTTCATATTTAACTTCGTATTATTTCATGAGAAAGCAGTAAGGATCTCTGGTCCAAATTTCAGCTTTCTATGTTAATTTCTAAAAATCGGTATGGGTCACCCCATAGGGTCGCTCTAGATACAAATTTTACCAATTTCATGTCATATTCTTCCATTAGGACCCACAAGCAACCTCTCCACCAAATTTCAGCTTGATATGACGATTTTGAAAAATCAGTATGGGTCACCCTCTAGGGTCCCTCAAGATGAAAATTTTTCCAACTTTAACTCATTTTTATCTATTAGGAGTCATTAGTAACCTCTGTGCCAAATTTCAGCTTTCTACGACAATTTTGAAATTTTGGTGCGTAATACCCCACCCACTCCGATGACCCCACCGGTCCAAAACTTTTCTGATTGAACCCATCTTCGAACTCGGTCGTTGCATTGCCCAGATACATGTCTGTACCAAATTTGGTCCAAATCGGTCAACTCGTTCGAGAGTTATCGAAAGACAGACGGACGGACATGACGATTACATAAGCCCTGGTTCGGGCTAAAAAGGATGAATGCCCTCTGTGCAGATGGACTTTATTTCACTGGTTAAATTTTAAGGGTACATGCGCATATGCAGCAAAAAAAAACTATTAGAACTAACGTGTTTATACAACGAGAATTGGTGAAAATGTGTGTAACAACTTTATTTTTTGACATAAGAAATATAATAACATTTATGTAGGATTTTGAAACCGCAAATATATTTACTGGTAGAAAATCTGACTAATTTTAAAATTTTAAAAATTTCTACTAATCACAGATGCATTATTTCAGCTTAAAGTACTTATATAATTTACAATCGTCATAAGGGAACAGGTGGCTTGGACTTGATTTGTTTAGTTACTCCACTATTCCTGTTGGTTTGGGGCAACTGATGAACTTGGACCTCACTACTGACTAAAGTACCTCCGCTCAAATTGGTACATGTGTTGTTTGGAATTACATCGGAAACTAGAGGACAAACAAAAGTCCCTTGCCCAAATTTAAATTGTAAAAGTTTGTGGATTTCACTTGGCGAGAGTCCAACCGAGTCGTCCTCATGAACACCGGAAGTGGAACCAGAACTGGTCGATGGTATTTGGAGGGACTGAAAAGAGTCGGTCAGCTCTTCTTCCTCCGGTGGAGGTGGTGGGACGGTCCGTCGTAAAGATTCCAAGATTGCTTCCTCCTCTGGGTTGGCTGGACCCTCGCAGTCGAAGGACGACAACATCAACGCTGCGCAAATAAATAAGCGATCACATGACTTGAAGCGATCTTTTATAAATATTCTCTTATCTACCTAAATACGCATGCATATTAATAAGAAAAGTGAGACCAACTTTCCCTTACCCGACTCGGTGAAAGCAGGCAGAGTTTGTATCACATGTTGCAAATTAGCCACCTTGTTCAGCTCGTCCGCCTTGTGCTCCTGCCATCTCATCACTTCGCTCAGCTTGGTGCCCAGCTGGAGAAAGTTGGAGAAAGCGAGGTGGCCGTTTGGCAGTCTGGACAGAGAATGTAAAATGTGATGAGGCGGTGAAAAGTCGATGGGTGGAGGTTAGTGTGGGGAGAGAGAAAGGAGGGAGGGAAAATTAATCTCCGGAAGAAAATTGCTGACTCGCAATCATCGCGCATACCTTGATGCAGCTGCTTCTTTAAGGAAAAAGAGATCTTTGATGAGAAGAGAGAAGAATGGCAGCACCATAAACGACGAAGACGACCCACTTACTCCGGCCTCATCTACTGCACCTTCAGCCTGAGAACAAAAAACAAGAAAATGAGAATGTCCATCAATCACATAGATCACCGGGTACAACTATACTCAAACTACTCTAAATCCGAGAATTCTGCCACACTGACGAGTGAAAGATAATGATACGGTGAAAACTTTTTATTTCATCTAAATATTTCCACCTGCCGGACAAAAAGTAGCAAAAGAAAGGAGGACCTGGACAATGATATGTATGACGAACTCAACGTACCTTGCTAAGTCTGGAACGATAACTGAAAAAGTTGTCGGATGGGTCGAAGCATGATTCTAGAGCGGATAGATCTTCTTGTCCCGCGAATTTGGACCACTGCACGAGAAGTGAATAAATTAATGAGATTTGCGAAAGTAGTTTTTAGTGGAGGGGTGGTTTCTGAGATAAGAAGCGCCTACTCACCGACTTTGCTAGACGACGGACGGGGTTAGAGTTGATTGCGGTGAAAACGGCAATCGCAGAGTTGTAATTGCCCAAAGTGACGGAATCTGACCCCACTTTCGCCCAAAACTCCATGACACGAACTCGCTCTTTCTTTCGAGTGATCTGCGTAGACAATGGCAAAGTATTTGTAATTAAGATGACGAAAAGTAATAGATACATGGGGCAGCCATGGACATATAACTTATAACTTAAAATTATGACGTATAACTTAACTTATAATTATAAATATACGTCGTCTTATGGAGTTTCTATGACTTATAACTTATAAAATAAGTCATACGTCATAATTTTAAGTTATAAGTTATATGTCCATGGCTGCCCCATGTATCTAATATCATTGAGTTTTGAAGATTTGTCTTATGATTTTTGTATGCTTCTTGAGTAAAGTGGACCAACTTCTTATTTTTAAAATCACTTATTTATGAATAGCTTTTATAAATACCTTGCAAATATCCGTGGCGACGCAGAGATTTAGGCGATGAAACCAATCTACGTAAGATTCCAGTCGAGATTTCTTCGATTTGTTTCCTGGTCTACCTGCGTTGCCTCCGTGAGCATTTACGATGGGACTTGGCGTACCCCCAGTCGTGTTGGAATTTGATGTGGTCGTAGAATTGGATGGTGGTGAGCAGCTTTCCTTGATGAATGCCTAGATTTGAGGTGCAAGTAAACTTTCCTTAATCTGATTAACCAAACCGTGCAATCATAATCCAATTTATATTCTTTAATTAGAGTAAAATAATTACAAAAGTTGTGTAGTTTGGTATATTTTGAGAATATGTTCTTTCTTGGGATTTGCCAGGTTTATCTTGTTTCCTAATACTTATTTACAGAAAAGATTGGCTGGTTTGTTATCTACTCTGTGTGCAAATGGATATTTATACAAGCTTGTCGTAATCCATACAAATGTAAACTTTTCTCAATAAACGAGTTAGTTCGTTCTTGTCTTGTGGGACTAATTCGCAATTTCTGCAGTCATTCAAGTGGCAAACGACCCTCTCGAATTCGGGTCACGATTTCTAACTAATTCTCATATTCTCTAGCCTATGTTTGTATTTCTTATGGTTAAGGAACACTTCAGCATTCACACATGGAGATTTTCATCAGTACACACATTTGACATTAAAAGGCACTAGTATTTAGGTCTAATTACACTATTTACAAAATTACCTGTATAAATTCCTGCACCCCAATGAAGGAAAATCGTTCCAACTCGACCAACGCCAAGTGTTCCGCTATGACACGTGGACTGGAGTAGAATTTCACTAATTTAGACTCCTCTTCCTGAAACGAATCAAATGATAAAGGACAATATGTAATAATATCTCTTGTCATCACATCAAAGTAAATTACTCGTGGCGTCGAGATGGTATCAGAACTAGTGGTCTAAATGATTCAGTGTAATTACTGAGACAGAGGCGAGCAGACAGGTTCCGTCGATCTACGGAAGGGAAGAAGTTAATTCAAGTCAGCCTGTATTCAGGTCACGTTGGAAAGCCAAACCAAGGTGAAAGTGGAAGATACGGATGCTTCAAGGAAAACCTAGATTGAGTGAGACACGGAAATTGCTACTTTGGTTCGGATTTCGTCTCTCAAACTGCTCAACCTGAACAAGATCTCCGGTTTTATTGGATACATGGGAACATGCAATTTCGAAAATACCTACAAAACAACTTGAAATTTTCTGGACTAAAACCTAATTTTTTCTGTAAAAAAGTGGTAAAATTTAATAAATTGTACCACAGTTGTGTAGCCATTTAGGAGTATGAAAGTCACTCTATACGTACAACAATGCCCATTGTTTCTAGGTACCATCTCTTTATATTTATACCCACTTCCGTTGTGGGTATATCCGTAGATTGGGGAGTTTAGTTAGTCAGTATCGTCACGTTTTCTTGAGCCAACATCTCATCCTCTCGTCACAACACCCACACCCGGCTGGTTAGTCTGCTCTCTCACTTCAACTCCCTAACTCGTCACTCACAACTCAACTTTCTCCAAGAAACCCGAATTTGAAATGAGAGCAAATCAGCAAGAGAAAGTACGAAAGCGAAAGAAACTTGCTCCTCGAGAGTAGCTCTTACAGTGAAAATCTTACGCTGGAAAGGAACATCTTCACAAACCCTGCCAATCAATCAAATTCGTATTGTACGTAGAAACTTGATGGGTTTGGTAAAATGAAGAAATTCGTCTCTCCGAAGCAGAGATCAACGAAATTATGTATAAACTTTAGCTACGCTCATTTTCAGACAAATGTAAAATAGTTGGAAGAATAGAAGACCCGTTCTTGTCAAGTTATTTTTCCATTGCTACTTGAATTATCCTAATGAACTCATATATTTGTATCTGTTTGTATGGTATGCTAATTCGTGTGATTATGTAATATTAGCATACCTATATTTAAGTATTAATGTAAATTTTAAGCTAGTTGGATTAAGTCTCAGTCAAACTAACTGAAAGTTTACATGGAAATGTGACAAAACTAAATCTAGATATGAAAATTACGGAATAAAAATAGGCATAGTGTGGTCACCCGAATTTGTGCTTTCACCTAAGAAGGAATCAAGAATGTCGGAACATCGCAATCCCAAGCAGCATTTGAATGCTAAACTTAAGTAGAACAAATTTTTAAAATCAAAAATGACCATAATGAATGACCCACATTTTCACTGTCTTCTTCCTTAACTAGCCCCACTTGACTGTTCCTTTGTGTTTTTTCTTCTTTCCACTGGCACCAGTCCATTTCTTGACTGTGACAATGGCCTGCGTAAATTCTGCTGCTATTAGCTCTATATATTTCCAATTTAGGGAAACATGCAAAATAAATGTACGACTATCCGGTGAATTTCTTCGTTCAGTAAAGATCTCCCTATTTCTTATTAAAATTTATTATTGGAAAGTGTGCAGAGTTATTAAATGATCGGACACGCCGCACACTGTGTCCTAGAAAATTGCAGGCAATCCAAAAGAAAAATATATATCATTTTAAGTCCTTATTCATGTCTTTGGATCCTCTTTTTTCTCAATTTTCTCGTTTTCGTTTAATGTCACTCATTCATTTGTGTTTATTTTGTTGAACGAAATCCAATTCGACTTTCTTCACTAGTTGGGCTCTTTTCCCTGCAAGAAGAACGGGATGCAGAGAATAGGACAAGAGAGTGACGGCTGATTCTGCGGTGAAAAATGGGCCTGGCAAAAGATCTTCTTCCCTTCAGAGAAAAGGGAGAAATTCAGAACCTACTCTAATACAATATGCGTGGGATGCTGGATTGGATTCCACGACCAGTCTGTAAGTACGCTAAAATTAGAAACTTAACATAGCAAAATATTGCCCGGTATGTTCCTTAAATAAATTTCTGTTACATATCTACATTTCAGCAAAAATATAAAATTTCAACAAGTCACCAGTGAAAGGCTGGATAGTAGAAAATTTTGTATTATGTATTTTGGTAATTGAAAATGTAATATGAAAAGTATTTCCAAGTTCTAAGCTCCAAAAAGGCTTTCACTTTTCCACAGCAGTTGCCTTTATTCAATCATGGGCCATGTACTCCACGGCCCAATCGTTCCGGATCCATGGCACAAAACGCAGCTTTTTGTATCGTAGTTTCAGCAAAGTAGATATTTTCACTTTCTCTTCTCACTCCATTTCAGCAAACCAACCACGTTCGACTAGATCAAACCCAGCCACTGGAAATGTACGCTTTCTTTCTCGTGTACAAATGTATACTCGTACATAGCAAACCAGTCAAAAGGAACTAGTCGGACGAGATAGGTTTGTACTTTCATCCTCCGCAACCCCGTTTCCAATTCATCCTGGCTCTTCCTCCTGCTGGCTCCCTTCATTGAAAAAACTTTTTTGCAGATTAGTATTGGAATGTGGTGGCATTTGTGAGAATGGAAAGTTCGACAGCTTTTTGGCAACGAAGTTTTGAAGGGGGTCGTTCGTAATATCCTGCCCTCGTCACTTCCAAGCAGTAGATTAGCTTTATAAAGAGGAGAATGTGACTTTCTCCGTTTGAGCAAACTAACGAGAGAGTTAGGGTATTTAGGTCAAAGGTGAAATTGAATGGTGTTATATATTGTGAAAGGATGTGACCGAAATAGTTATGGAGGAGGTGAAATAATGAACAATATATTTGTAGCGAGATGGATATGTATTACTTCGGGGCAGGCCAGGAAATTGGTGTGCAGTGATAAAAGCATGCATGGAAATATTTAGCTTACCGCAATTGCGTGATTGGATGCCATTTGAACTTCCAAATTAATTTTGGCCAAGCTAGACTCGAACTTTTCTAGGAGGGTGAGCTTGTCGAGGAGCGAAGTGAGAAGGATGGACACTTCCGTTTTCATCTGCAGTGTGAAAATGGATACATTATTTACGTAATTGTTTTCATGGCACGAAATAAAGAACAACAGGTGCACAATTCAAAATTGGTGTATGTTTAAATTTCTACACTTACCGATGGACAGATATGAACACATTTGTGCGTGATTGCTCGAACGTTGGCCATCATCAGGCCGTTGTCGTCACGAAAATCGTACGGAAATATTTGAGTCCATTCACCCAAAATGCGGACTAAATTTGGAACAATTCGAGTCGAGTCTTCATCCTGGAAAATTTCACAAAATCAATGATAGCTAATTCATTTAGTGGCACGCTTGATTTCCTTTTAGCAATAATTTTGGATGGGCACCAGACTAATTTTATGCATCCCTACTCCCAGAATTTCTTATTACTTACTATTCATCAATTTAATACATTTCCAGTCAAATTTCAAAAAACCTTTGAGCCCTAAATTGAGTTTAGTTCAAGTTGAATGGAAGAGTAGTCGTCAGTGAATTATTAAATTTAAAACCTCAGCCGGCGAACCTGAACCCCTGACTGGCTCGTTGGCAGACTGACTGAGTGATGTCGGAATATGCCAGAGAAATAGAATAAAAAAGCTTTTAACGTAACGTCTTTGATGTGACGGTAGTGACTTTGATTCCATTTGGTAGCATGTGAGATATACAGTTTTCAGGAAATTTTGCAATTTGCTTGATGTGGTTTTCTTCTGACATCTCAAGGCAAACGCAGTATGAATTCCTCCTCCCTTTGTAGTCAGAGGGAAAAAGGGAAAGCGTGGTGAATACGTTGAAGCCAATTTGGCCAGGAAGGCGGAACATGATTTTAACGGTAACCGTTTAGGTGCATGTGGTACAAAGCTTGATGGTCGGAGTAATTATGAACTGAAGGAACGGGATGGAAAAATTTTGGTTACGTAAAATTTAAATTTTTTGCTGGATTTCACTCTCGAATAATTCCAGCAGAGAGCTGGCAGGACTTACATTCTTGTTCAGAAAGGCACGATGGAGCACAGTGGCGAGGAGTTGATGTGGACGGATGAAGATTCTGGAGCAGAGAATGAAAGCGAAAACGAACGATTTGTCGGGAAAGTGGTCTTCTGATGGCACCAAATAATCCACCAAACCCTCCAACGTCCCTGAAAGGAGATGTCCTTCGTCGAAAACAAGGTTACCCGACAGCACCTAAGACCAGAATGTTTGAATTATTTACGTTATTTTAAAAGTTAATGGTACTTTCTCTGTTTTGGTATGAAAATTTAAATTCCCGACCTCTTTTCAGCCATGGAAAACCACAAACCACACAATTTCGGAAACTTTCACGGGAAAAGCAAGTCGGTCGTGCAGGTTGGTGTTACTCCGAATAATTTGGAGTAGTTGGACTGAGCCAAAAACCGAAGAGTTTGGCAAACCGTACACGTCAATTTTGATTAGACTCTAAATCCCTTTAATTAATCCCGGGCTCATGGGACTAATTAGTTCCGAAGTTGGGGGTCCTTTCCCTCAGTCAGTCAGTATTATGTTCGTGCGGAGAAACTCGCGCTAGGCCTCGCAATTGATTCTAAACGAGGCCTAGTTATTCAATTGTCGGATACCAAGGTTAAGACCCACGCACTCAGAAATCTATGTATAGCTACGAAAAATGGCGGATTTTTTCTGTGATTACACAGCTAAATGTACTGGTTTGCTTGTTGTACTTCATTAAAGAGTGTGAATGACCAATATTTCTGATTGAGGGGTGAAATTTACAGTTCGTAAGCAAGACGGATGGAAAGTGCACGATACTTTGAACTGATAATGCCGTCAAGTTTGCTCAGATAACTTTTCCCGTGTTACATAATGCTATATTCAAGAATTTTTTGCAGTACTTTTTAGCGATGTAGGGAGGATATATTGGTGCCGGAAGTAGCGAGAACTACTTGGTCATAATAATGATTTTGTGACTTGACTTTTTATCAGAATACACGGGTCCTGTAAGAAATTCTGCATGACTTTTTGGTCGCCGTACCCCATAAATGGGGTATCCCTGGAAAAGTGAGATCAAATAGCAATACATGAAAACAGCATGCGGATATCTATCATGATATATTCTGATTTTGTCAGTTAGTCAAATACGTAATGAAATTTTGGCTTTGAAATTTATTCCACCATTCAGAATCGTACAGATATTAAATATGAAATATTGAGAGCGTGCTTCAAGTGCTTGTACTACATTTGTTTCATCAGGTGTCAGCATGAATCGACATTAGTGCCACACTACTCAATTTCTCATTAATAGTGAAAGTGTGAATCAGTAAATGAGTTCGCCTCCGATGAAAGCCCCGGCCTTCGAAGCGTTCAAACAGGAACCCGTGGAAAACACAACACAATGCAAAGACGACGAGTTCATTGTTTTTATCCGAAACTTATCAAAGACTTTGCTCGTTAATCATCTTCTGCACGAGAAGCGTCCGATCCAGAGAAGAGTTAACAATGGCTGTAGCGCGCGAGGCATCCCTTTGGCTTCGCTAGTATGTGAACAGCCCAAATGTCTGGAAATTTGGGTGTGTTTCATAAAATATTTAGTATTGCAATAGAAAACGACGGGTCGGATTTTGTAATGCTAATTTTGAGTGCAACCTTTAGATGAAATATTTTGTCAAATATCGTTCAATATTTGAATCGTTAGTATTTTCACTATTTCCTTTATTTATCGGCACTCGTGAATCCCAGGTTTAGTTAGTATTGCCACAATTACGTACTTGTATTGATTTATAAGTACACACATTAGTAGGTAGAAATCCATTCAATCCACAGCTAAGCATTTGAAAACCCCAATTACGCCTTTCGGTCCAGCTCTCCCTGTATTTCGAGAGAGACGTTTAATGCTGATGATGGACCCAATTGTAATGATAATGATGGCAATGAACACTTTGTTGTGTAGTGTAAATGCATTCCACGTTTCCATCCCAGGCTACCGAATGACATTGGATGTGCTGCGGCCTCGCCATTAGTTTGCTTGCTTGATGATGAGTTGAGTGCAGAGCTTTCTCCTGTCCCAGTGGACATTCACTCTAGTTCCACTTAATGAAGATGGTGGTCGATGGAAATACAATAACGGCCTGCCCACCAAACCTACGAGAAGAGCGGTTGTGGAAGTGAAAGTCCTGGAATAATGGACTTTCTACTTCGCTTTGCGTTTATTAATTTTCTAGAGAAAGGAAAAGAATTTGCAACAATCTCACGAGTAGCGAAATTTGAGGAACAAGAAGCCTTCATATTTTATAGCAGTGTGTGTGTAACGATATCATCCTCGGGGGAGGGAAAGCTCGACGTAAGACTTTGAGCCACTTGTTCATCTACTCGTATTTGACTTGATTTTCCTGCCTTGCTTCCTCCTTTGATAAAGTTGTAGAGGTGGTGTGGCTGGTGGGTGGGTGGGTGGGTACGCTGATGATGATGATGATACCATGCAATTTATTTCTATTTTGTCCCACGAGCAACTCTCCCTCGCCACGGATTGAATGGACTGAAGACAATGGAGTGAGAACTAATAAACGGGAACCCCACCGGGCAGCCACAACTGCTTTCTCCCCACGCACAAAGAACCTGTTTCATGGGTCTGCTTTTGATTTGGTGCTGCTGCTTGTTAACCGATTATGATATGGGCCGACCAACCAGTTCCATTCTATTGCTTACGATGAGTTGTGACTATGTTGGAATTTACTCTCGACGTGACAACGACATCCGTTGGAAAATGGGATTGCGTCGAGTCGACAAAATCACTTTCTGATGATTACAATTCTACATGAGTGCACAAAATGATTTGAAAATCGGAACTATTACATTTCCAGGGACGTTATGATAATATTTGGCACATGGGTTTAGTCGATGAAATTCATACGATCTATTTTTTTGTGGAAGGAGTTGTGCTGTTTGTCTGCATTGGGATTTGATGTACATAGTCTCAACTTAAAAAGTGATAGTAAAGTAGACGACCATATTAGGTTAGTTTTAAGGAATTTCAAAATTATTTTTATTCCATTGAAAAGCCAGTTAAATTTCACGTAGAAAACATGTATTAAACTTGAAAATATATTCCTCCTGTGACCATGAAGAATTGGTCACGTAAGAGAAAGCTCCATCAAAAATACGCACGGAATTAATGGACAAAGTGTATCATTCCCAGGTCAGAAATTTTTTTGTGACCCTGACGCATATATGGGGCTCAGAACAGACCTTCTCCTCAATTTTAATCAATATTTGGTGGTAAAGTTGTCTGCGGTTCGAAAATTCCAGGGTCAAACCTAAAGTGCAAATGAAATCAGAAATATGGATTTTAATCCAGTTTTTCACGAATTTCGATGTAAATGTTACTGTGGACCCCTTAACAAAGGTCGGTGGCTTTTCACCCAATGTGGACTAGTTGAGGGGGTGTTCCATCTTCACCAGGACGTTTATCAAATATTTTTTTAAACTATCTCCTCTCCTTAATCAAGGAAATTGGGCTGTTTTTGCTCAATTCCGCCGATTCCCGCCAAAACCATGAACGGAGTTTGATAAGATGACATTTTGACCTCTATTTTGTTATAAGCTAACCCTTAGAATATTTGGCATAAAACGTATTAGTTTTTTTGCTGAAATATGTTTCGGTCGTAAAGAAATTATCATCGGTAAACGGGTTAGTTTTTTTGGTTTTTTTACCGTACCGTTTGGGGAGGGAGGTCGATTTTTGTACCCTTGCTTTGGCCTGGGAAATTTATGTGACGCTTTCTAATCCAAAAGACCATCATCTTAGGGTCACTTTCCAGTGCTAATCTGATCTCTAAAGTTGAAAGGTCATTTGTATGGCCAAAGTCTTTGGCGTCAGACGGAGATTTTGTGCTATTCTGGCGTTTAAAGCTTTGGACATCACTGAAGTCCTCCATGACCTTGGACATCCGGAACTTTTATGTCATAGATAGACACTGTCTCTGGGATTACTTTAATAGTTTGGGCAACCAGATCGTAGTTGTACTTGGGTTGCTACACTTCACCAAACATTGTGCATTTTTTTCTCGTGCAAAAAGTGAAAAATTATTGCCGCGCGCGTGTAGCTAAGCTTCTCCTACTTTTGACCTAGTGATGTCAAGTAAAAGCGGTCAACACCAATGATAGGCACTGAATGTATGCACAAACCGCAATTGACCTTTTAATTTTATGTTGACCGGTTAAAAAACTACGCTCTACTATCACTTCTTATGGTAAGACTATGTATTTAGTATATGGATAGCTACACATGAATGTGCAGCAAATTGGTGGTGCGTTATGATGTATGCCGTACAGAAAAGTTGAAGCACGTCAGAATGTCAAATTAGTGAAATTTATCTGTCAATTGGGGTTTAACATGTTGATACCCTTTCACTTTCGTTGGAGAAAAGTATTTTGCAGTATACTGCATCTGCACATGACAGCATTATAGGTATTTAACTTTTGTGGTTGGCAGGTTCACAACATGTGCACGTGCGATTTCCGGGCTGGATTTGACAAGGTAGATTCTTATATTTTTTACAACCTTTTTGCCTCTGAAAGTGTATCGATTCTATTTAACGTATTCTGTAAATGTGCGTCGCCTTACGCACACTTCCTCCCTTCGCATATTAGTCTAGATGACTAATGCAGTCTTCCCTATTTTGCTGGGTAGCGGAGACGAACAATAAATCAAAAGCTGACAAGGTGAGAACAAAAAAATCAGAAAATTATACCGTCTCGAGTGTGTATTGTGTAAATGCCGTGCTTTGTTCAACAAGTCAAAATTTCTGTCGTCTGTAGTCCCTGTAGTCATTTATTGGATGTCAAATAATGCGTCTGCGAGACGATGCTCTCTGTCTGAGTCTCGACTTTATCACAAATTCATTTTGTAATCCAACACCTAAAATCCACAGGGAGTTGTGCAGGAAATGAAGGTGTCAGACATTTCAGATCGTATTAGTCTTAAAACGAGAGCGGGGATGGTGTCGCCGGCAGTTGAGATTCACCTGGCACTTACGTAATAGCATTATTTTGTGCAAGTCCTGAGAGATTAGGGACCGTCACTATTTTATGTACTCATCTTCACTCAGTGTTTAAGGAGTGGTACTTGAGCGTGAAGTAATGTTTCTCGTGCTTTTCGTGAAGCTTTTCTTCAAGGAAAATGAGCTGTAAAAGTCGATCCGATTTATTCAATTCTGTTCACACCTGCATACTCTTATACAACAAGGAGCTCAATAAACTTGCAAAATTTCCACTATTGTCGAGTTGATTATTTATTTTGCACCTTTGTTATCGCGTCCTTCTGCTTTCTTTCAGCAGGAGACAGGAGAGTCTGCTTTATTTATGCTAAATGTGACAAAGAAAATCTCCTGCAGCATCTTCAAATCATAAAGTACAAGAATCTGATCATTCTCTCGCACGTTATAAATTTATGATGTTTTTGTAGATAGGTAACCGTGCATATCTATAAGGCTGTCATTAGGTTAAGTATCTATGCATATGAAAATATGTAAATATGTAGTAGACTAATCCTAAGTATTTAATTATGGGAAAAGTCACCATATAAATTCCTCATTCATATTACGAGAGAGGTAATTATCATCGCGTTGAATTATCGTCGCGACAATTCTGTCGGTGCAAAACTTCTTTCTTTGCTCCCAACCAGCCACGCATATAATCACTCACGAAGCAGAAAGCGTGAAGAGAACTGAGCTCCTGCATATAATACGCGTCTGAGGGGGATTATATGACACAGGCCGAATTTGTTCCCCGGATTTGGAGGAAAACAAAGTCTTCGTCGTGGAATGAAGTTGGCTTTCTATCCAAACTAGCAAACAAGCCATTACAATGATCTGATACTCGTCTCTAAGAGAAAGTTTTGGATTAGAGCCTGGGGACGAAATGACTATAAAGGGTCTGAAATTTTAGGTTGGGTCGCATATTCAGAAATATTTTTAAAAAGTACATTTTTCTTTGAAAACAAGAACCTGCTATGCAAGAGAAACGCTGTTTGCAAAGTTTTCCTCTTGCGAAGCACGTTTACGTCAATAACTTTTGCCTTTGTCGTGAAAAAATTCGTACGCACTAGTCAATAAAACCGCCTTTGTTAGTAAATTAAGATAAGTGGAGTTGGAGTTTGATATCCAATTTCATTATATGTTTTTGAAGAGGAATAAACCTTAGGCTTTCTTGAATAAAGAAACGGTGGCGTCTCCCCTCATCTCATTATTTCATCCTTGTTCTCATCGCGTAGTTTCCGCTTTTTCCTCGTCTCATATCACTTTTACTTTTCTCATCAACTCAAAAAACTTCTCACCCTCTCGACCGACGAGTTATCTTGTTACCCTACCGGCTTCTTTTACCAAGGAAAGAAAACTGTCAAATTTCTCTGGAGCAAGAACAACTGAAGAGTTCATAAATTAGGGGGCAGATGATATCTTACCGATTAAAACTTTATGGTTATAGGAAAATCGAGAATAAGCTTCCAGCCATAAAACCCACCTCAATTTGTGAAAGTTGAAATGGAGAGAAAAGAGGAGTCTTACGTGATGATTAACTGCTTTCCCGAGGTGTGAAGAGTTCTTGTGTGGATTTATCCCTCTTTCTACGCCGCTCGTGCCTGCGTCATTGGTAGGATACACCTGAGCATGCTGGAGAATACTGGGGGAAGGATTCGAACTTTTGGAACTGATACTTGGGCAGTTTTTTGTCACCGTCACTATCACACCACCACCACCACCAACACTATTTCCACCTTTACTCCCAAAACCGCCCATGACATGACACAAATTGGGGTTTTGCTGTAGTTGGGCTGAACTGATGGAGGGGGACGCGGACGATCCTCCCATGACGGACGAGGTCGAAGGTGCCCCCAAACCAGGTCCAGTCACGGAACCAATCACCACCTCGCTCACTTTGTTGCTCGCTTTCACCGGGGTGCAGATGCTTCCCACGGACGGGATCGAACCGTTGGAATTTAGTGCGATGGGGTCGCGATGAATTGTCTGCAAAAATTTAAACAATTATTTTTAATTGGATTTGTACAGCAGCAAAATTTGTATAGCGGGAAACCTCAAAGTTTATGTAAATAATACATGAATAATATTGCATAACATGCAATCGAGTCGTCTTTCTTACACCGCCCACATCCCACCCACCTCTTCCATTTGTGGACACAAGTACAAGAGCGTAAACCACATTCTGTGGTTCTAAATGGACGTTATACAAAACTGCTTTGGGTGACGACCACCATGATTGTAAATGATGTGACACGACATTATCTCCAAACGTGACACGGACGGGAGGAGTGCAGAGGAAAGTTAATAAAATTCATGCAAGACAATTTAACACAATCGACAATGGTGAAAATAAAAGAGACACCGCAGAGAAAAGGAAGAAATTGTGTTAGCATTACTCCGTCCCATCTGAAATTTCATCCTTCTCTGTGACCATCCTCGCCCGCACTTCAATCACGTTCAAAGGCGGAAACCCATTGTTTTCTATTGTATTACTGTGCGGTGAACACTTATCATGACGATATGTACGAGATGCGATGTATCTTCGTGCCAACATTTTTATGACGTCTTTAACTAAGGACTTGATAAGATGTTTCACTCTGTTGAACTTAAAAGTAGTGAACACCTACACAGAAGCAAAGAACAATAAGCAGAAAAAACAGACGAAAACAGTGCAAGCGGAACAAAATGAGAACTCAGATTGGGACGCAAAACTCCTGAAATAACACAAAATTCCCTTTAAACCAACAACACTGGAAAGTGGGAGCTTGTGAGAGTGTGTGTATTTTCGTGTCCCCGTTGCCCGACATGTTTTTCGATTGCCGACATGATCGGAATTTCAACGACATGGTAAACACAAAGAAATATATTATACAGCGTATTTACACTGTTTGAAGCGAACCATTGTTTCTTAATTCCCAACCTAGTTTTAAATTTGTTTGAGTCGTATTTCTCATGAGAACAGATTGGATTATTTGGACGGTAAAGAATAAAGATGAGCAAATATTAACGAGCTGCAATAGGAGCTGTCTATCTATGTAAGCTCTCCAGGTACAAAGGAAACGACTGAGGATGAGATGACACTACATACTTACACAGGCATGTATATAGGTATGTAAGTATGTATGATGTCGGAATAAAAAAAATCGATCCTTCATTGTAAAACATGGAATTCTTCACCCAATTTGCGCACTCAATTGTAGATGTGATTTTTTCGTTTACTGTGTGAAGTATAGTTGAAGAAGAAGTGCCGTGTTTTCTAAAGATTCTAACTTTTCAAAGACCAGACTCAGAAAAGTTGTTTGGATCGAGATAAAATAAATACAATCGTGTTGTTCTTAAGGATTTCTTAAGTTTTGAAGAACAACTACTGTCACTTTTGAGAAAGTATATTTAGGACAGGAACTCCGAATTGTTCATTCGACCAGGCTGCAAATTTTGAGCATCTATCTTTCAAACTCACAATCTCCGGCGTGTGTTCATATGCATCGTTTCCTTTTCAACAGAATATTTCAGAATGACGCTTGAACAATAATAAAAATTTGTCAACAACAAAACCAACAAAAGAAAACGACATGTTCTTTAATAGACAAATTATTCTTGGAAACACATTCACATTACCATTAATGTGAAAAGTGAAAGCTTTTGATTTATGAGGTTAGGATGACCACAGACCAAAATGATAAAAACTTTGAAACAGCGATACAATAGCAACTTTCATGTCTGCTAACAACCATCTCAACCCAGTCGGATCAAAAGGCAAAACTTCAGCCTGCTGGGAAATGTCCGGCGACAGGCATGAATAATTGTCCGTGTGGTGGGCAACAGCGTCCCCTCGACTTTTACCCACCCCCATCGGACCAAGACATACGAAAATATTCACGGAAATTGCATTCCCAAAAAGGTTCGTCCTTTGGTGGCTACAATTCTTCAGGGAGTGTGAACCTTGACAATAAATTATTGCAACGGACAACCCGATGACTTTCTCTTTGCAGGTTGCAGATAGGAATTGTTGGTGAAAACGGGTGTCGGTTTGTAGAATGGAGATGAGCTGCTGACTCGTAGGAAAAGGATAAGCAACCGCGTCTCCCATAAACAACCAGCAGTGGCACTTATCCCTTCTTAGCCCTCATAAAATCTCAATCCAACTCCGCAATTCCAAATCCTAACGACTTTCACACTGCGTACGCGAAGCCGAGCAGCAAATGCAGCATTGCACGCTGAGAAACAAGTTTAATGTGTATATTCAAAGAGGTCCTTTTTTTGTGAGAAGGGGACAGCTAAAACTGCCAAGTCGTACTGGTGATCATGGGGCGCAGAGAGAAATGAAAAGCTGAATTAAATTTGTAAAGCTGTGTGTGTGTAACGTCCTCAACTTTTTAGAATTGTACTGTACAAGATTTTTTAATATCTAAGAGTGGAGAAAGTTCTCATTGCCACATTTCAAGATGCAGAATAAGTAACAACAAAAATGTGGAAAACAATGCACAATTTTTAAATTAGTATATTCTTACCCTGTTCTTCTTGGAGCTTTTTTGAATTTTCCGGACATAATAATAAATTGCCATCGTGTTTGTCGTCCACGCGGAGAGTATTAAGTTTCGAGAAAATTTCACGACGCCCACAACGACAAGAAAAACTTTCACTTCAGCCCATAATTATGTTCAAGTGTGTTTATGTATAACTCAACTTTGTTATATTATTCAGTAGTTTTGACTGGAATTATTTTTTGATGCGAAACTCAACTTTGTTACTTGGCCGAAACTTAATTAGTCGAATAAGTTGATACTGCACAGGAATTCAGTAGTTGGCATCTTGATTAATGCTGCAGCTTATGAGGACCATCTGCAAAAAATATGAATAACAACAATTATTCGCGAAATGTAGGTATGTAAGGGTGTGTGCGACTCTAATTCAATATTCTACACAGGAAATCATCACTTATCCTTTCTTCTGCTGACATTTGTCTCAAAAATGAAATAGGACGCAATTAAAATTCCCCACAGGGCAATAAAGCAATAATACATTCAAGAAATGGGCATTTATTTTTATTGCTTGGGACATAAAGTAAACAACTAATGGTTATAATGAGTCCCTCGTCTCTGCAATAAATTTGTGAGATGTTTTGGGAGAAAATCAGAACTGAGTGCTCGTAATAGTCGGAGAAAGCAATTTGGTTTCCGTGATCGGGTCAGGTCCCAATAAAATTACCCAGTTTCTTCACAAACTAAGAGGAATTGAACTCTTTGAAGATCAAATTGAAGAAAATCTAAGCCCAAGGGGATCATATTATGAAAATAGTTCAAGTTTTGCCAAACTTTGGGGAAATCATAATTTGCAATTACTCGGATAATTTCATAATTTTGTAGTTTGATCGTTTTTTTTAATTTTCTAAAAATTCATATCATGGGCAGATTTGAAAATTTTGAATCCTAGTAATGCAGACATAGTGGCATGCTATTTTTTTCTCAAAAAATTGTGTAGTATAATTTTCCACAAGACCTTCCTTCACAAAGTTCTGACTTCCTCCTGAATATTTTGAGGTTGAGTGAAATCGACCTCGATATCAACATAACTTTCACATTTTGTTTGCTTGGAGCATATCAAACTTGAGCCAAAGAAAAAGGCATCCTTTTCGTGGGGAAGAGGGAGTGGATTTATTTTGTAGTGTGACATGTGTCAGGGCATTAGTCAGCCACTTGGCCAGCATTGACTCCAGAATAAAGTGGAAAATGCGTCAACTCCAGCTCCACAGCTCTCTCAAACTCAAAACGATTATTATGTGAATCTGAAGTGACGCGAACAACAAAAGATGGACGAAAGAGAAAGAACGTGTGTCTGCCAACTAGATATTTCGCGTTCCACGTGCATTCGCAATACACACGGTGTCATTAAACTAATATTTGCTTTGTGAACAATAATGGTTCATCTTTTCCACCTTGCGTAACGTTATGCACATCTCTCTCTGTATCTCTGGATATGCTTTATTTCTCCGAAATTTAACTCGTCTGCATGCACTACGGAATGATGATGAGGATGAAAAGTTGTCCCGATTTTGCATGGATTTACTCACTTTCTCCACCAAAGTGAAAGCACCCCCGAAAATCTAACCACACAAAGCTACACGCAGAGACAAGGCTCTCAATGTTACTGCAATATTATGTCTCCACTCAACTAACGCATACTCGACCATTTTCATAGTAAAAACTTTATCCTCTCGTATGCTCGTGTCGGAGAGAAAAATGAGACTTGCTGCAGTAAATGTCGCTGAAAATTTATTACCAGAAACAAAGTATATATCTAAATAAAAATAGACATTTTCAGAATTTTATGCATGACGATGCATTGGAAAAGTTTGACAAAGTACTTCTGTACTGCACAGATGCGAGATTGATACAATTACTGGTGGGAAGCTCCATTGAGTGGCACTATGATTCAATACAAAGATAATTAAATGAAAGAGATGCCATTAACATGACTGTCTTTTAGGCACTTTAATTAGTCACTAGGTAAAATATGTAGAGGAACTATGATTATTAGTATGGTTTCGTGGCTTTTCTACTCGCTTTTATGGTGGGAGAAAATTAATTTTCCTCAATGAAAGAAACATTGCATTTAGTTATCAAATCGCTAAAATAGCTGAAAAGCTATTTATATCTAGTCCCTCAATATGACTGGTAATTAGTGGTCATTTTTATAGAATGGATGAAAAAAGTCACTTCAAAGGATGGTTTCTTTTTTAATTTTCACTCAAGACTACTTAACGGATATTCCTGCAAGGTTTTTCTGACGTTCCTTAATGTGCTGTACACACATTTGACACGAACACAGCCACCGGTGCACTTCATGTAATTGAAAGCTTTGTGGTTCGTGGTGCTGGAGATGGGAATTAGTCAACGCCAAAAACGGTGGGTAGCGGACCGAAGTTCTTGAAGAAACTTGCACAAGAAAGCAGTCTCGGAGAAAGATGAAGAAGCACAAGAGATGATAAAACGGCCTGTGGCAATGCACTACATCAACCACCCGCAAAACCTCACCACACAATTTTGTGTGTATGTATGTATACGTAACTGGTGGTGTTGGCGAGTGCATAATCTGCATAACCCGCATCAAATGTAACAGGAAGAACTTAAGAGAAAAATTCTACTCTGTACGAAACTTTTTGAAATACTATACTCTCAAAAAGTTATACGGATTTCTTTCTTTTTTTTACAGAAAATGTAGGAACTCTCATATTTTTGGGAAGTGTTAACACTCGGAATTTCATCGTCCTGTGTTCCTCTAACCTAACATGGGCTCACATGTTTTTTTACTTAGCACTTTCATCAACGCAGAGTTTGGCACGGCCATGACCATATGCAAATTTTGAAAAAAACACATAAATTACTCCAACATGCACTGCTGACTAAGATCGAATACACTCGGCTGAGTTTTAATTTATTTTAGCCCTACATACAAACACAGAATGCTATTCACTTCAAATGGTGCAGATAGTGTCAAGCTACGCAAGGACAATGGAATCGCTTAGAACTGGAGTATTTAAAGAAAGAAAGGAGAAAAAGAAATCAAATAAATGACCATTGTTTACTTTCTCAGAGTATTTTACGACGGTCGTACATACGACGACCGTCGTAGCCACATTGAAAATAAAGAGTGTATGTAGCAGACGTATGTATGTACATACGTACATAATTGCATTTCCTCACCGGAAACTTTTGCACCTTTTACTGCCGTCGAATGATTTACAGCTCAAGTTGTGGGGAAGTATTTAAACAAAAGTTTCAATTAAATTTGGACCTATATATGAGAGAAACTTGGTTGAGGTAATAAAGAAAATTAAAAGTGGGAAGAGTGAGAAAATATGTAATGAGATTTAGTGCGTTCACTTAAATCTAAGTAAGACTTGAGAGTGAATTTTAAACATTTTTCTTAAACAGGGTCAAATCAAATAGAGTTAAATATTTAAATAATACTACATATTTTCATTAAATATTTTTTTAAATATGTAAAGTAAAAAATTATCTGGTCCTATTCTTTTCGACACTTTCACTATTTTCTCTAAGCTACATAAAAATAGCGACAATTTCTTCACTTGCGTTTGACAAAGATTATGCATGCAAATTTAGTTATCATATGCACGCACCGATAAGTGTTACCTTTTTATGCTTCACTTTAAAGCCTGATGAAACAACGTATCACTTCACGGTCCAAATAACCCACAGAGAAGAATAATTCATGCTCCGTAACTGCGGGTCTGGCTGATGCGTCTCAGTCCACTAACTTTCACTGACTGAACGATTGGAGGGAGCTCGAGTGAATTTTACTAGGACGGGGGCGAGTAAATCGGAGAAAGTAAGGAAACTCTAACCGGGATGAAGATCACGACGCAAGAAAATCCGAGTTGGATATCACATTTCTGCAAAAGACGAAAGCTTTAGGGTTGCAAAAAATACGACGGGATGATGAAATTCATACAGCCTCCGAGTTTCGTCGTCGCCTGTGAGTTTCGTTCATTCATAAATGTTTAGTTTTGGAAACATTGTCATCCCCTTTTATTTTATTATGGGTCATCGAATATCATATTGAGCAGATGCAGACTATTGCTATTGGTCATCCAGATTGCAATTCAGTTTTGCGACATATTTTGCAAACGGCGCGTAGTATGCACCAAGAACTGAATGGAAAGCAGGCACGTACAGCCAATGTGTTTCGCTTCTGGTTTGCATATAAAATAAAAATAAATGCGTACGAATAAAAAAAACTTTTACCAGCGGCATAACCAAGAACAAAATACGTGAATAATAAAACTACAATTTCGATACTCACCTTGCAAGCTACTTCAAAGATTCTTTAGCTTGGGTGAAAATCATAAAATGAGAATTATTTCGAAAGTTGGCCCATATAAAAATTATGTTTTCTGAAACTCCTTCCCCAAGTAAATTATGGGCTGGGAGAACATTATTGCCAAGAGTATGAAGGCGAAAGTGAAATTTCTTTCCGCTTTCAGGAAAGTTAAACGCAATTCGGAGAAGGGAGTAAAATGACGCTAATCAAGATACATGCGGACATTGGACGTAATTCGGGAAGCTTGCTTTTTATCCATCAGTTAAATTTAGCAGTTAAAAATATGGAGGGCCACGACAGAGTTAAGTAGTTTTACGGAGAAGTGGGATAACAATGGATAGATTTGGATATAAGCTGGCTTAGCTGATGGGAGATTTTTTAACTTGATAAGAATTGTGAATTTTTGTGCTATCCGGGCGTTTTTTACATGCATGAAATATACGTCACTAAAGTAGCTTTCTTGCCCTTTAGGAAAATGTTTGCAAATCATGTTAGTCGTACATGTGCATATATGTGCCTGTATTTTCCTGCTTGGTATCTGCTACGCCCAACTTTTTACAATATGTGTCAAGACATTTTTTTATTTCGTTATATAAAAGTAAAATGTAAAACATTGTTGAACTCTCGTCAACAAAAGTAATGGAATCTGCGCTGTGGAAGAAGAGGAGAGCACAAGTTGAATCAAAACCTCAAAAGTGAAAGTTTTAGTAGTGGTGGAGGGATGGAGGAAAAGCAATAAAAGGAAGAGAAAGTAGACAGGAGACATTATTGGCCATAAAGAAGAGACATTTGGCAATTCATTCCTCGGCCGAATTTGCAATAAGCGGACAATGGGATGGAAAGCAGACTTCAACTGCCAGGCGACTTATGCGCGCACTTCAACTTCCACCAAGAAGGAAATAGGAGACGAGAAAGTGAAAGATAAGTAAAAGTGTGGGACACGATAAGCGAAACGTGCTTGAGGAATTGTAATGTGCATGTTTTAATGATTAGGATTGAACTTACTACTTTATGTAGTGGAGAATGTACTGTATGCAAGCAAGATACAGAGATACAAAACCATGTACGAATTTATTTAGCTTCTATAAGTGCACATACTTCCATGCATTTTAAGCCCTGAAAAAACGTTAACTGCATGAAACTGCATGAAAATGAACACAAAATTAATCCACCTTATGCACTTAACTAATTGTAAGTATGAACATGCATAACGTGCACACGACTAACTAAAATGGGGAATAAACTTCAAGTGGGATAGGTTAGTCACGCAATACCCTTTTGTTATCGATTTGACAGGTGCATAAGCAAAATATGCATAATATAAATACATACATACGTACAAATATATGTGCCAGTTATGATAAGGAGAGTTAGTGTTGGGTAGAACAGCCACATTAAGTGTTTTATGTGAAAACTGTTGTGCTGCACATTTTTGTGACCTTGTACATATTCCTCACACAATGATTCCGGCTCTTATTGTGTAGAGCAGATTCACGGCTGCACGGTAATAAATAAATTGCACTGAACTTGGTCACTCTTGATTTGTTTGTAGACATGTCAGGTACCAAGGTAAAAACGCCTACGGGAGTTAAGAAATCAGCTACAGTTAATTCTACTACAAATGGTAAGAGAGATGGTAATACTGTAAAATCAATAATATTGGATTACATCTTGTTCATCATTTGTTAATTTTCTGATATTTTAATTCTATCTATTTGCATATATTTTAAGGAGTAACAAAATTGCAAAATGGTGTTCAACCATCTGTAAAGCCGAACACTCCAAATCCAACTCCAAAAAAAGCAAAAAATAAAAACAAGTCACACAAAGTCATTGGAAAAACTGTTGGAAATTTTAAATGTACGAGTGACTCTTGTGGAAAATCTTGGAGCTCCGTCCACGCTTGGACGAGTGAGCGATTCTTTTGTGAATTATGCAATTCGAAAGCGAAAGTTCTGAATTTTGTGGACGAGGTAACTATTAGTAAATAAATATATCTGTAGTTGCAGCTTAAATTTATGTACAATTTTATGTATGTACATTTACGCACACATTTAAATATTTACATGTGATGTAAATACATCGAGTTTAATATCTTTTCTTACACAATAATCCGGCTCATTTTTTTAGGAATGCACATTAGACTGTTACAACTGTGCTTATTGTGGGGAAAGCTGGCAATCAATTCAAGACCTAAGGAAGAGTGAGGAAGAATGTTACTGTGGAAAATTTGTTGCTAAAAATGGGACGCAGAAACGAGTAGGTTCCACATTTAACAAATCATATTTTGCATATACGCATTATTTAGCAATGAATTAAAATGGGATTTTATCAGTAATACATAATTATGTACATGTAGTTTGGACGTCACTACTTTTATCGGTGTTTGAACAAAAACGAAGGATGTGGAATTGAATGGGAAGATTTTTACCATGGGATGCAATACAGCCAGAGATGCACTACTTGTGGGTCGGCTGGGCTTATGCACAGTGTATCAAAGGTACGAGTTTTCGGTCTTGTAAACTTAATTATTGATCCTAATTGCTCAATTTCTGAATCAGGTCAACCCAGCTCATCCTCAACAGAGACCTGGGGGGAGGAATATATTTGGAGGAGGTGGATCGCATAATATTGAAGGGTGTGACATGTGTCAAGCACTGATTCGACAAGGCGTTGCAAGAGCGTGTACACGTAAAAACAGAGTTGTTTTCAGTGTCGAACAACATCCGGATGGAACAACTACGGAAAATGTGGTAGAAGCAAGATGAAGTACTTGGTCACGACGATTAATCCATCTGACTTATTATTTACGAATAAATCAAAGTAAATTTCTCGCGTAATTGAAATTATCTTGTGTTTTACTTATATTTTATTAACTCACAATTTTCATATAAATTAACTGCTCAATTTTTACATCACCAATCTCCCCTAAAAAACCCTGCCAGACCCAAAACAACCAAAACAACAAACGAAGAAGGACTCAATCCAGGTGCCATGTTATCTTTCTGCTCTTCTGGATGTGGATTAATTTCCATCCATGAAATCATGCGACTTCCCCACTGGTTCATCCAGTTGATATTTGTACGCACCGTATTAATATAATTGTTCACTGTAAGTTTTTCATTATCGGAAAGGCCGTCAAGTTTTTCTGCATTATCTGCCATAAACTTCAGAACCTGTCAAATACTAATTTTTAGAGTGTGCTACTCCAAAAATTAATAAATATAATATCAAATTCTGATTTCCATACTCGATCCAACTCTTCCTGTGTGGATAATTGAGAGCTCAAACTGCTCAAAATATTTAGAACCACGCTGGCACTCCCACCACCCAATTGAGAAATAATATCATCCAATCTCGTGTTTAAAAAGGTTATGACCAAAGATCGGCCAATCGAGTTCATTGCAATTCGCTGAATCAACGGGAGTCTGTGGTCGAGTGCTATTCCAGAGCCTTGTGTCAGTATCGCGTTTAACAAACTGTAATTATTAGTTAAGTATATGATAAGTGAATGGAATTATTTATGAATCATATAATTTGCATACTTTTGCAGATTTTCCACCTCAGCAGCACACGCTAGCCCTTGCATGAGTCTGGTTTTGAGGGCGTTATTTCTCAGGATGTCAAGATTGAAATATTTATTCCAAATAAAATCGAATCCTTCTTTACCACCAGTGGAAACAATCGTGCAAAACATTGGCCCTTGAATATCTACGTGAATTCTGTCGTAAAAAAAATAAATGTGATTAACATTGTGCTAACAAAGCCAATAAAAAAGAACTAACGGATTCTCGTTTTCCCAAGAATCACTCAAGTTTTTGGCATGCGAAATGCACTCCTCATCTCCAAGTGAGCATGCCCAATCAATCAATTTCATTCGCAATATTTCATCAGCACCGATAATAGTGTCATTTTGGGGAAGGCCGATCCTGTTCAGGGCTGCTTTGACTTTTGGGAGTAGGAATTGCTACAAAGGAGTTACAAATGTTATCAGTTTGTATTTACATATATGCTAAAAAAAATATCGATAAGGTAAACTCACAGTGAAAATGTTCCTGTCCGTTTTGTGCGAAATAAATTTGTGAAGATTTCTAAATTGGTTAAATACAACTTCCCAAACGGTGAAATGATCTTCTTCTGCCAAGTAAGTTGTCAATTCCAAAGCGGTATCGATGTCGACGAATGCTACGAAGTAAATAATTGCAATCGCAATTAGACCATGTACAAGGGATAAAAATATTTAACAGGTTTAAATTCCACCTCTAAATGCAAGATTGAAATAATCGTCCAAGAGTTGGCTTCTGCTCAAGGGTGAAATAATTGTGTGATTGATCATGAGTTGCTTTCTAATCAGTGGTGTTAACACGTCGTCATAAAGAACTCGATAAAATCCGGTGGCATGCTGGTTGAGCATGATCCATTTTGAGACGTTGTGTTGATAAGTTTCAATCGCTTGAGTATCAGTCAACCATAATTTGGGAAGGCTATTTTCTAAAGTGGGTTCGTCGTCTTGTGTGACGATTGTAATTGGAACGTACCACAACGCTGGACCAGGATTTGCGTAACGTTCCTGCCATACAATTTTTTTTACTAAATAAAATCCAAGTAGAATAGATGACGCGTAATTTATGTACATACTTGTGTAATGAAGACCTCGTTATCACCAGCGACACTAACTCTTACAAGTGGATGACTAATTTGTAGTGTCCAAGAATCCAAAATTTCTTTGACAGTAGCAGGTAATACTATACCGTCTCCATCTGCTGCAGCTTGCAAATGGGTGAATAAGTCGTCTTGTTCTGCTCCCAGATATGTCCTGCACAATAGCAAGTCATGTTATTTGGAATAAATTATTTAGAAAAAAAGTACACAAAATAAGCTATGATTGCTAACTAACATGGCTTCCAAATAAGTAATCAGTCCTTTTTGAAACGTTCCTAACGTTAAAAATCCTTCAATCATGCGATTAATTGAGGCTCCTTTGTCGTAAGTAATGGTTCCGAAGGCGTTATCAACTTCATCCGGTGTTACGGCATCGTTACGAAGTTTGGATGTCGTTGGTCCCGCATCAAACGCAAGAGCGGGTTGCAGGGCGTCATTAATTTGCCATTCTAGGTGACGGAATTCGGGCGCTACTTCATTCACGCCAAGATAACTGACATACGTGGCGAAACCTTCGTTCAGCCAGCTGAAAATGGGAAGCAGAACGCAGATGATAAATTTGTGAGCGTTAATTTTGTTCAGTAAGAATGTAGAATTAACTTTAGGAAAACCATACATTTCCGACCACCATTTGCATGTGACCAAGTTTCCTATAATTAATATATAAATTAATTAACATAAATAGTAATTTAATGTACTAGGGGTTACAAATTAAACAAAATTATTCCATATAGTCAATAACCAACCAAAATTTTGATGTGCGACTTCATGGGAAACGACGCTCTAAAGGATCATGAGTAAAATTTAGATGGTCGTTACATATTTACAGGTTATCTTTCTGCTAACTCACAGCCATTGAATTCTTTGCAGTTTCTAATGTTTCCCCTTCTAAATAAATTAGTAAATCGGTCCGGTACAAAATCAGGCCCCAATTTTCCATGGCCCCTAAAAAACAATGTTCCAAATTTCATGTAATTTATTTAAAAAAACAGTGACTTATGTATTCTCCTACCCACCTCCCTTATGCGTAATAGCAGCAGAGTCCATTTTTTCCATTGGATATACCGTATTGAAGAACCCGTCAAAGTAAGCTAACAATCTTGCTGTGAGATCCGCAGTGTATTGTCCACCCCCACGAGCGATGAGTTCGGGCGTAGACCAAGTCTAGCGTAAAGTAGTTATTTAATTGTCTACAATAATTTAAAACTAGCAATCCAAATGTAAAACTTACTCTGACTGGTTTGCCAAATAAGGCAGGATCCGCGAGGGCTGAGTCAAATTCTGCAACCGTTATGGCAAAGAGATAAGTGGACATGGGAACAGTTGGGTTAAAAGAGGATTTGACCCATCCAGGCGTTTCCGGTCTGCATAATAAAAATATTGCTTATAGGTACGTAACACACCATCATTGTTCATAACCATGAATATGGATCATCTTACACAGGTACGGGTTCCCCATTTCGCAGTCCGTTAGCAATAGCAGTGTATTTAACCTGATGAATGAGTTGTACTGAAAATGTTGCTTTTAAATCGGGTTCATCAAAACATGGAAATAATTCACGAAGATGCAAGCTCTCCATTTGCGTAGCAGCGATCCAACTGCAATTTATAATGTATTTACATGGATATTTAGTACGTATGACAGAAATACGATTAAAAGAGAGCCAATTACCTCAACGTTAAGTCCGGCTTTGTGTAATTACTGCGATAAAGACCGTTCAATTTATGACCAAAAATTTGAGCTACAGATTCTGCATGCAGCGTGTAGTTAACTCCTTGCTGAAGCGTTCCAGATTGTAATGGGATATGTACAAAATGTTTAGTGATATCTGTATCGTTCTGATATGCGCCAAGTGGGATGTCAGTCCCATCTTCGTGGGTTAACTAAAATTAAAAAGGAAATTATGGGGCTGCTTAGAAAATGAAAAAAATCAAAGTCCTTAAATATAAATATTTCCATGCGTGTATTCTCACACTGAAGGACGTGATTGACAATAAATTTGCATGCAAAGTGATGGTCGCCAAATTCGCTGCGTCGAGAGGGATCTGGAAGAGGATGTCCACCTTTCCTTTCGCCGTGAACTCGTCATCTGCTGGGACTTGTTTCTCGTCCAAAACTACGGCAAGTTCGACATTGTAATGGATCGGGATCCATTTGGCCAAACGATGTAATGGATCGACAACGACAGAATTTATGACCGGTCTGTCATTTACTAGTGGATTTATCGGATCAATTTGAAGGGGTGGGTGCCCTGATGCACTGGCGAGTAGAAAAACGGCCAAGAAAATTATGTAATTCGCCATTATGATGAGGAAACAACTTGTCTCGGCAGCCCTCAATCAGGAATTGTGGACATTTGGACACGGAAAGTGCAAAAAATGTTAATAAATTGTGACATTGACATGATTTTTACTATCTGCATCTGTTCCTGCATAATTGTTTTTTTTAATTGAATGCGTATTTATTTTGTTGCTTTATCATCACTAACCAGTCATTATGTATTGTTTGTCTCATCCTTTCGATGAAATAACGCTTATCTCGGCATGAAAATGAGTCGTGCTCAATTTATTGGTACAAGTACAATATCGACAAGATATGGCTCATTATTGAAATATTTGTGATTGCGAAATGGGCGACATTTGGACATTATGTCATTATTCGTTATATCAGAACCGCGTCAGAGGAGAAGGTGAGGATACTCTTTGTCCAAGTAGAGAATAAAATCCCCCAACACTGTGTTCGCCCAGGCAAACCAATCTCTCGTGAACTCGGATGGATCGTTTACATCATAGCTTTCATGCCTGCATTAAATCAATAAATATGCAATTTTATAATTGACAATTTAAGGTTTATGTACGTAATTACAACGACGACTTACATGAAGCCGGTTCCAGCAGTCGTATTTCTTACAGTCCATAACATTCTTGACATCTCCACCTCGTCCAAACTGGTCATTCCTTGCATGCAAACGGCCATATGCCAAGTTTGTTGAAGTCCAGTGTGTGGTGAACCGACGCCACCGTAGAGGCCTCGTGCGTAATAAGGATTCCAATCAGGGGACAAAATGTATTGCCTCGTATTCAGATAAATTGGATCATCTTTCTCCACAAAACCGAATTTAGGGAGAGATAAGAGCGATGGAAAGTTGGCATCGTCCATGAACAAATGTGACCCGTAGCAGTCAACCTCATACGCGTAAACTTGTCCAAACTGTGGATGTTGGACGATTCCATGTCTGGTAATTGCGACGTGCACTTGTGTCGCTAAAAGACTCAGTTCATTCGCTAATTCTGGGAATCTGCCGACATCATTTAAAATCTGGGCGACCCCACGCAAGCCCACGACCGCCATGGCGTTGGATGGGATCAAATATTGAAATATTGTAGAATCGTCTGAAGGACGGAAGAAGGAGCGAATCAAACCGCAAGTTTTTGACGGGTTTCCTAATCCGTATAAATTTTGGGTCTCTGTTTGCGTTCGGGTTGGTCTAGTAAATTTGTATGGCTCATTATCCAACACTTCTAAAGTTCCGGCCTGTAAGTCACGAAATGTTTGAATGACGAGTTCAGTAGCATTTTTCCAAAATGGGTTATCCAAGAATTCAGTATTGCCAGTTTCCTCGTAAAAATATTTCGTCAAGTATAAAAACGAGGCTAAACTGTCTACTTCGAATTTAGCTTCGAATACTTTGGTCAGGTCGGGGGGCGGGTGTACGGTGTCGTTTTCTGCGGCACTGTGGGGGGGTAGATCTATCTCCGCCTGCCAGTGTTCGAGGGGAAAATAGGCGTTGGCGAATGGATAAGATAAAATCATCTCGGCCTGCGTGTTGATTAATCCGAGGATTAATTCGCGAAGTTCTGAATCATTTCTCGCATATGGAACGTACGGGTTGACTTGATACGTACTGTCGCGTAGCCACATACCTTGAATGTCTATTAAGTAAGGAAAAATTGTGATTTGTGACTACGTTTTATGTGTAAACTAATGTTTCCAAATACCTCCAGTGATGATGTAGGTGTATGGGATGGGAAATTCAGCGCTGCGTGATCGAGTCCATAAAACAGTCGTGTCTGAAGAAATTTTAAATAAAATTGACAAGTCTTTATTTATATTTAATATGAACTTACCCAACGTGCTTGGCAAACAATTTTGAAATATTTGTCTGATTGTGGGATCGCCAATTCTGGAAGAAACGTCGAGAATGACATTTTCTATGGTGGAACTATTGTACAACCGTTCCGATGGGGGTGGTCTGGCATCAGGAACTTCAGATTGGCCTACAACAAGATGAACAAATGCTAAAATGCAGACAAATAAGATCTTAAAGTTCGCCATTCTCTTTTCGTGGAATACTTGTTACTCTGTTTTACATAGGTGTGAATTAGATTAAGAGACATTGCGGGCTGGACAAGACTTGAGTAGGTGATAACAGTATCATTTGACAAATATCATGAAGTCAAGTGTGATAAGGATTTATTTGTAGGATAAATACCAAAGGGAGGGCGGCCTGGTGGATACGAATTTGACCTTGAATAACCCCGGAACGGTTTGTCGTAGCGGGTCAAAATTTTGAACAGACGAGCATGTTATCCTCAGATAGTTGTGTGCAAAATTTCAGCCTTCTACTTTGAAAAATGCCTGCCCCACAGCCCCCAGAAGCTGAGACAGTCATTTCAAATAGTTCCAGAAAAAATCTCGCCCGTGTTTGCAAAAAATTTTATTTGAATATTCTGTTGAGGAATAGAAGTGAGCTATTGGTGACAATTGACGAAGAACTATTTTCCCTACAAGTTACTAATTGGGTTCGAAGAGCTTACTACACGACAAATGCCGAAAAAAATTCAAGAAATTTGGTGCTTTTCAGTGTCCTCCCACTTATCAAAGTCCCCCAAAAAGTGAAGGAATCTTCGAAGTATTATGTGGACCTTGTACTGAAACCACTTTTAGAATACAATTTTCCTAATTTGCACGGTAAAATAATAAATAAGGTGATTTTTCATCATGACGGAGCGTCCTCCCAGACGGCAAAGTTGACCCAAGATTATGCAAATAACCTTGAACCTAGATTGGGGATAAAAATCATTTGGAATAGTGAAATACCTATACAATCCCCTGATATAAGTCAAATCGACTTGTTTGAGTTCGGATAGATGAAAAGAAAATCTTTCTGTGGGGACCGAATTTTTTAGACGGAGTTTGGAAAAAGTTGAAACGAGTGTCTCAACTTCTGGGGGCTGTGGGGGAGGCATTTTTGAAAGTAGAGAGTTGAATTTTTGCACACAACTATCGGAGGATAACATGCTCTTCTGTTCAAAATTTTGACCCGCTACGACAAACCGTTCCGGGGTTATTCAAGTCCAAATTCGTATCCACCAGGCTGCCCTCCCTTTAGTAATCAACAAAGTGTGAAGAAGCGATCCATCAAGTAAAGAGCACATCCAAATTGTCATGTCCAGAAGATGTAAAGATGATAAAATAAGTCAGCATTGTTTCAACCATCTGTGTAAATCATATGAAATACAAGAACTCGTCGTTTGTTGCTTGTCATGTATGTATGTAGCTCACATTAAAAATAATCCATTATGATAATCCTGTATAAACACATTTCCAGTAATCATAATCGAATGACTTTCAACCTCTTCCGGCAGGAATAGAAAATCTAAATGCTTCTTAACCTTGTTTAATCGCAACCCAATTTCGAATCGATTCATCATTTCTTCTCACATCTCTACAAACTGGAAAAATTGTAACTTTTTGTTCATGACAAAATAAGTTATTAGAAAGAAATGGTAGAAAAATAACAATTCGTGGAAACGGAAATAGTAGTCGATTTTCTACTATACCGATGTAGAAAAACATTCTCATTGATGTAAAAGGTACATACATAAATGAGTACCTTGACTAATAATATAATGCATGTATTTAGCAACATAATTTTCTCGTTTAACTGCACTACATATATATATCTATTAGATATCTGCATAGATACTCTAACATAACGATCATGTTATGTATAGAGTTAGTTTATAGTTCACCTATTTATTACCATTCCAGTACATAGTTAATACATACGGAGAATGCATAAATACTGGACATTTTTACCGGAAGGAACCTTAGATTTGCCCAACATTTTCATGATGCATGCATGTACATATGTACCTGCATGCATTTATTCACGCGTGTATTTATACGAGCTCAAGATGCCTAATGTATGTGAGCAAACCAACCTTAATACCCAGGTCAGGTACGAACTGACTAACCTTATATAAGGTTACCCATACCTTACTAACATCGTAAACTCTGTAAAATGTGTTTACAAATTTTTATCATACTATGAAAGGTGATATTGATCTGCATACATACATAAGCTTGCAAGCGCTACATATGTAGATAGTAACCGATTTTCCTTATGTAAAATTCTTTAAAGGTTTATAAGTTTATAAATTCCACGTTATTTACGAAGTTATTAAGGACGATATGAACTACCTCAATGTTTTCATTTTTTATACCTAATGTTTATGTCACTATTTCTATTTAAATTGTCTTATAAATCTAGTAGAATAGAAGCATCGATTAATCTGATTCATGAAACAAATATGTGCAACACAGGCACATATGTTCAAAGCATTGTCCTTGCATATTGTGTACTTAAATAGATAATGGTGCACTAACAATTTATCTGCCACAATATACATCACCACATACCGTACATATGTATGTACAAAACTACGTACTTATTACAGTAATACGGCATAGAACAATTAGTCATCGATATTCAGCTGGCTCTGTTCTACGTAAAATAATAATTTTTTCTGTCTAATTTTTAAATTTTTAACAATGACTACTAAATCCATACCCGAAAAAGAAGAAGACCTGTACACCCCATTCACCACACCCTTAACGCTTCCCGACCTTCTCCACAGCCTCCAAACAACTAAAACCCAGACAAAAAACATAATTCATGAGCTTGAATTATTAAAAACAACAGTAATTTCTCATCGTGGGGCTGTTCTAAAGGCGAAAACTTCCGGCACCACGGTGACCACGATTGGGACAGGTCTTGCCATTACGGGCTTAATTTTAGCCCCATTCACCTTCGGGACCTCCTTAATTGTTTCCAGTGTCGGCGCTGTTACGTCGATTGGAGGAGCTGCAACAAACATGATTACAGATTTGGTGGATCGTTCCAAGAAAAAGAAATATTTGGATAATATTCAAGTCAGTTAAATAAGTTATTGTGGTAAATTTGGAATACACATTAATTAATATTCAACATTCTACAGAAATTGTCCCAGGATCAGGAATCCATCAAAATGGAACTTTCCTATTTACTGCAAAATCTGGAACAAGTGATCGAGCCTCTCATTGATATCAGAGGACTTTCCAAATGCGAAGCCATTTACTGCTTTTTTATCAACCATGACTGCTGCAATAACTCAACTGCAGAATCAAAACTGTCCCGCAACGACTCATTCGAACTTATCGAAATCTCAGAGTCAGATTGGAAACCAGTAAAGAAATTCGCCTTCAAAACGACTCTGCAATCTTTAAAATTAGTAAAATCTTCGCAAGCCTTGACAACCCTGACGATCGCCGGGCGAAGCGGTGCCAACACGATATCCAGCGTCTCCGTCAGTGTGGGAAGGTTAATTGGGACGACCGTGTTTAAAACGACGATGGCCGCGGTGGGAGTTGTTTTCACATCGATTGACATCGCATTGCTGGTGAGAGAGTGGAAGACAAAGGATCCCACGCACGAGACGATAGACTTTGTCCTGGACGAGTTTTCAGAGGAGGTCAAGCGAATGGAGGAATTGGAAGAGATTTTGGAAATGGTGGACAAAACTAAATTTTTCCGGAATGGGAGGGTAATTGGAAGTTCTCCGTTCTCTGTTAAAGCCGTGGCAGGATTGTTGGAGGGAAAAAGGGAGGATTTTTATGGCGTGGCGTATGCAAAAGAAGAATGCAATTGGGCAGACTATTGGGTAGGATTGGGCGACGTTGACTTGAATTCGTCAGGTGCTAATGAAACAGTGCCAGTAACAGAAATTGATAATCTATTCCCATCTGCAAATGGTGCAGATTTGCTCCCAATTAAAGTTATTGACCAATCCGTCCTAAATTTAAATAAATTGATAATTGACAACTTCTTGGAATCAAAGAATCTACCAAAGTTTACAATTTTGGAAAAATCTTTTCGTCAGAAAAATTGTTTTTCAACAATCCAAGATTATTACAACCCACTCCCATCAAACATTACGTCGAATACTGTGCAAGTTTGTGTAGCTTATGTTAAATGTGAGGAAGGTTATGTAAACGCAAACAAATGGGAATATCAACTCCTAATTGAAATGGTTATGAAAGAGTGTTTCAAACTATTTTGTAATTGCTATGAAAAAATTGACAGTTTGTGTGACGACGATGCTGACGATTACGGCGACGATTTGATTGAATTGGTACAAGTTTTGATAAACCATAAAAGTTTCCAGGACCCAGTTGCTCTCGCTGTTTTTGGGAATCATGAAAAAAATGTTAAAATCTTAAATGATGTCGTTTCAAGTGTGGAAGATTTGTTTAGAAATTTAAGATTTAAAATTGGAATTTGGGCAAGTGAAATGTGGGAAGTTGTCCATACTGGGAATAATGGAGTTTGAACATTGTGATCATTTTTGGAGAGCAAATATTTATAATGAAGCAACTAAATCCTTTTAATGATGTACATTTTAAGCTGAGAGACATAACAAGATTATTTTTCATACTAGTCCAAAGTGACTTTGACCATTTATTTATGTACTTACTTACAAATAAGTGTTTTATTTATTTATCGAATAAAGAACTGTGATCATGCGACCCGTTATCATAAGCATTCATTTATAAAATCGATAAATCAGCACTAATTGACACTGATAATGCAAGTCAGTATTTCATGCACTCAATAAACTCGCTTTCAGTCCACACTCGAAATAAATCCTTCCCAAAACCTGGACACTACAAATATTTAATCCCCGATTAAAAATGTCCCTCACAAAGAAGCGTTTCTCCCCATTTCTGAAACCCGACAAGAACTTCTTCACCAATCTAATCAGCAAGGGCTCCATCACACCGGTAAATCCCGCAAAAGAAGTCGACCCCGCCAACATTCCATGGATAGATTACGACCTTCTCTCAAAAGGTCGAGAATTCGTAAAGTTCAACTACGCGACCCTCCTCTTGTCCGGGATTTTAGCTGATACGATCGGATTCGTCTCCAGACAAGTCGCAACGACCCTGTTCTACCGAAATTTTTACCCAGAAAATGTTTGCGGAGCAAGATTCTTATCCACCTTCCACACTTCAATGACAAAGTGGCTGTTATCTGATTTTAAGGGTACCGAATTCATCCAAGCAATCCAACGTGTCCAGAAATTGCATAAAATTTACGCTCAAACCCCTCCCACTCGTACCGTTCCGCCACCAAATATCCAGTATCCACCAGAGTACAAGAAACTTGCCGAAATTATTCGTCATGATATGCGACATGTTTCCACCGAGTTTTATCCAGCCGATCTAATCTCGTGGTCACCTGTCAACTATTTTACACAACTTGACGTCGCACTCGTCCAATTTGGAATATCAACGTTATTACTTTTTCCAGAAAAAATGGGAGTTTCTACAAAGTTTGAAACGGATGAAACCATGCGTGGATATTTTCATATGTGGGCCGTGATTGGGAGACTTCTCGGACTTGAAGATGAGTTCAACCTTGCGTTACATCCGGATAGAGAGCTTTACATGGAAATCGTAGAAAAAATTGGGATTCCCAGTTTCAAAATGGTTGATGAAACGTCGATCTTTTGTATGCATAAAATGATGGATGGCGTCGTTAGCGTGATGATGCCTGGTTTAATTACGATTAAATCTTTGTGGTACTTTTCGCTAGAAACGTTAGGAATTGAAGGTGTAGAGTTATGGTCGAGTATGAGTTTGCGCGACAAGATTTGCTATTATCATGTGAACTTTTCAATGTACTTGATGCAATTTGATTTTGTGAGGGTAGCTGTGAATTTGATGTCACAGGGACTGTCTGGATTTCTTGTATATTTTTTCCTGAACAAAAAATAAGATTAAGAAATAAGAACATGTTATTGACTTGTATGAATTTATGTATGGAAAATGTTTATTTGCGACGAATAAAAATCACATTTAAACGATGGAATTTAATTAGAACATCTAATTATGCTGCCCTTCGCATTAAAAATTCTGCATAGCAGATTTTATTTATATCAACAACATTAACAATTATTTTTAATATTGCAGTTCGCTGTCGAAAATTTGTAACAATAAAACGTTTATAAACATGTCACCCAGGACACTCATTCAAAACTTATTAACAAATATCGTATGGCTGGTTTTATCTTTTAAACTTTCACCAATTTGGGAAACTCATCCACAATTGCACCCGTTTCTAATCTGACATAACTCCCATTAAGAATGACGGAATTGTCACTGTTCAATACCAAATTTACAACCCGAGCCCCACGAACCCAACTTCCGTACCCTCCAAATCCCGTGTGCCTTCCGTAACAGACTTGAATTTCCTTGTAAAAGCAACACCATCCATTTCCTGATAAAAATAATGAAAAATACAAATACATTTTTACATAAATTTTTACTTTAAAAAATTTCACCATGGTCATGACCCACGTATACTGCCTGAACTCCACCCGCATTTGAGAGTGCGTCCATAATTCCGGTATTATTCGGGTGTTGCGGTGTTACGTCATCATCCACGAGTCCACTGCAAACTGGATTTATATGGATATTTTCTTGAATTTGTATAAATTCTTCGCTAAAAATTAAATTCGTTATGATTTAAATTCCATGCAATGCACAGAGTATCTAAGGATACTCTTTGTATTGATAAGAGACTGCTCACGTAGGAATATGGAAAAATACAAGCGACGGCAAAGGTCCAAACTGTTCTTTTAATCTGGCGTTTTCTTCAATAAACCAATCCACAACTTTCGCATCGATATATTCAGGCTGCTGTCCATCGCCATTTCTACCTCCTTGGGAATCAAGGAACCAGAAAATCATGACTGGTTGCTGAGCTACCGAGTAAATTAGGAGGTAATAATTCGTGACCCCCGGAATTGACGAATCGGTCATTTGTTGCGTATAACTATTCGCATATTTTTGCTCTGCTCGAAGGATTTCTAGTCGTGTTACATTCGGACCGATGTCATGATTTCCGTAGGTTGATGCCCACCTAAATAATTAGGAAGAGGATAACCTTTCTAACATATATTTTTTTAGAAATAAGTATGTTATGGTATGGTGCCCTCACCGGTAACCCCTTGTAACCAAAGGCCCCACCAACATGTCAACGTAGACTGAAGCATTAGGATACATATTTTCAGCAGTTAGTTGATCCCCCGTGAAAATGACAAGTTGTGGGGTTTCCCAGTCCAAAATTCTGCCTGTTAAATTGGTTGATCTTATGTCTTGAATAGGACCCCAGATGGTAGATGGTTCCTCGCCATAGTGTCTGTTTTTTTTAGAATTTGTGTACAAATTTTAAATAAATTAACGAATAATGGTTGAAGAATATGACCAACTTACAAATCAGCAAAAATTACAATTTTCAGTCTCCCTTCTTGATTTAGGCGAATTTGTGGTGGGATTCGTCGTATGGCCGCTGGAAGAGGAGGGTTTGAGTATGAAGTTATTAGCAAATATGATGAAAATATAAGAGTCGAAGCTGTTATGGGGAGGAGGAGTTGCATTTTTTAGTATTTTATGTTCATGTGCAATTAAAATTTCAATGGGAAAAGTGTAAATTATTGAGTTGCCACTTATACGGGTGGTTGACTCATGACTGAAGTGGATTTGTTTGACAATAAATATGAGATGTGCATGTATATATCTGTATGTCAGTAAAAAATATTTATTTTGGTAAGTTACATACCAAATGTTGTACTTGGTGGTGGTGATGGGTTGATGCTTATTGCTTACATAAGTAGAATGTAGAAAGACAACGCAATTTGACATTTAGCCATCATAATACGTAACGATGGCTAAATGTTCAATTACGTTGTTCTCCAACATCGCAATCTAATGAATGAACGAATACTGATCAATTACTTGCTATTCCATGTCATGGTATTATTTGTAGATATGTTGCAACGTACAAGTAAAATTAGTTTTTTCTTTAATTTCTGCAAGAAAAGTTAAAACTAATTGTAAGAAAGTACCAATGTTTGTTGTAATACAGACAGTTGCTTCTTCCTACATGCATAGTTCCTCTGTTCAGTCAGAGTGAAAATTTAGAATAAAGCTAAACTTACGAAATGTCAAAGTCAATTTCAGAACAATTCTCTAACCGGTGTAAGTATACAAGTCGTAAAGTACTCATTTTCGAGTGAATTAAATTGAAATTTTTGAAAATTGTAAACTATTTTGCAACATTTAAATTTAAATTCGAGTGACCTCGGTTAATAAATTTGTATGTAAATATGTGCATATTTATGCATTTAAATACCATAAGACACCTCAACACTTTATGAATATCTTTGGCATACAGGTATGTACGTATCTATATGTGCAAAATGTGTTGTCAAACTGTTTTTGTGTATTAACATGAAAACGATGTAAGCAATAACAGTTAACAAATTGATTTTGAGAGGTTGTTTGCATTTTTTACTGTAATCCCTCCAAGCCAAACCGGTTCCCACTAGAACTAAGATTTTACATCTTCTCCAGGATAACGTTTACTTGTCCACTGAAATTGCCACTAGCCCAAGAGGCTGATTGTTGAATTATCGTAGTACGTACTACGATTATTCAACGTACGATTATTCAACGATTATTATACGTACGTATATGCAATATACTACGACCATTCAGTTTACTTTTTTCACTTAACATTTGAATGATAATTTTTCAATGTGTTTGTATACAATCTTTGAGATGCAGCTGAGATTTGCACAAATAAGTCTGAAAAGTACTAAATTAAGTAATAATTTAAAATGCTTTGTTCAAAGGATTTATTGACTTTTGTTTTCCTAATATTTATTGGCCTCCGCGTTTGGTTAGTTTGTTCGAATTGAAGATTACCCGCATCAAACAAGTAGAAACATATATATAACATTTTGTAACATTATTAATTTTTCCAGCTCAGCATCACGACGTAATTCGCGATCACCAAGCGAGGATGAAAATCGGGATCGGTTTATCCCTTCCGACCCCGATGACGCCGGATCAAGAAAGCACGTTTCTCGCTTTGAGAAACTCCTTCTACCCAAAGGCTACAGCAAGTTGGCAATTCCTCTGGAAGACAATGGTGGCCCAGTAATCGTGGAAGTTTCCATTTTCATTCGATCCATCTTAGATTTTGATGAGAAAGAAGAGGTGAAGTATTTAGCGGGTGGAAAATACATGCAATTTTACATACACGACAAATACTAAGTTATGGATATAAGAGTGCATTATTATGTTTAGGAAATATTGTTGGACGCAGACCTACGCGTAGGATGGACAGACTGGAATATGATAAAACATTTGAACAATGCCTCATGGAAGGACCCAGTGACTGGCGAAAGCGTAGGAAACTTTACTTTGGATTCCGAATTTTTAAAAGAGATTTGGAAACCTGACGTTTTCATTGGTAAATTGTATTTTTACTACCATGATCATGTCGTAATTTTGAATAATATGCAAATGTAGACGAGATGGCGTCTTCCCAAAAGACTGCACTACTTTCTTCACCAGTGACGCTATCTTTCAGCCGGGTGGGTGGTTCGGATGATGAAATTAATTATGCCGCCGGAATGGTCTACAGCGCTCGGTTAGCAATTATCCAGCAAATTTTTATAAGTATATTAAAATGTACAAATAATCACATTAGAACGACGATAAAATTGAGATGCGGGATGACTTTCGAGTTCTATCCAGCCGACACCCAAACATGCTCGTATTTCATACGGAGCTGTAAGTCTAAAAAATAGATGTGCACACATTTGACATTTAGAAATAAGTACGCGAAGATTTTTAACGTTTACATTTTTAACATATATAATTTCCAGATTCGTACAAGGTGGAACACTTACAGTTAATTTGGGATTTGGAAGGCCGTGGCGTATTTTTGAATGACCCTTCCAATCCTAACTTTGATCTTCAAGTGGAATCATACGAACCCAATAAACACCTGAAAAAGTTATTCATTGAGGAAAGTTTCGACAATTTTAGACGTAAGAAAATGCTGCAAATTTATTAATTATTCAACCTTGACTACTCCAGTGTGCTTAAATTACCAGGAGGTCACTATTCTGCATTGTCCTTCACAATCAAGGCAAGAAGACGATTAAGCTATCACCTTATGCAGACGTATCTTCTTTCCGTCCTACTTATCGCGATAACATTGCTGTGCTTTCTACTTCCGGCAAGCATGGTGGAAGCCAGAATTGGCGTCTGTATGACAACACTTTTGACGCTTACCGCTATGTTTGCGGCCGTCCGGTTAGTAATAAATGTTGATGTAATTAAATTTGCAATATCATGAACCCATGTTTCGTTATATAGGGAACAATCGCCGCAAGTTTCATACAACATGGCGATAGGTCGGTATACCTTCACAAGTCTTTATTGTGAAAATAAAAGTTATTTTAAACCGTTCATATGTACAGAAATAATATGTCTTAAAGATAAAATCAACCAATTTGCATGTATAGATTCCTGGATGGTGTTCTGCATCCTGATTGTCTTCATTGCTCTGCTTTTATTTTCTACAATTTTTTGGTAACTGATTAATTTTCGAAATGATAGTATTTGTTACTTAAAATTAAACATTTTTTAACAGGATGAAATTGCGATTAAAACGAAAGGAAGAAAATTCTGCAAAGGACGATGAACAAAGTGGGGAAGATGATGTTACGATAACGACATATCATAAAATTGTGCACTACACGAAACATTACGCATTTTGGGTGTTTGCCATAATATTTCTTGTATTCTTGGGCGTCTATTGGGCATGGCTGTTAATTTCGTCCGACTACTTGAACTGGTCGCCTAGTTCAGAGTTTAATGGGGCCAATGACGATGACGATGCAGACGGATTTAATAATTATTATAAGCATAAGTCGATATCTGTCTTGGGAACTGAAGAAGATTTGAGAATAGAGGCAGAAGTCGAACCAACGTTGGCCAGTGTTAATTTCGAAATATGAAGGTTTAATTCATGCATTCTGGATAAATTCACAGTAAATATTTTTGCAAAAAGTCGTAAAATAACTAAGCAAATAAATTGCATATATTTTGCACTGATCTGAATAACTATACTCCGCCATCTTGGCTACTTGCAACCTTGGTAGGATTACTCTGAGCAGCGGTGGTGGTGGTTTCGCCCGTGTTTCCTTTTCTGCAGCAGTTGCCCACAGCTTGTCGAAAATCTCTCCCGAAGACACAATAAATTACAAAATTGCTGGCAGAGTTAATCGTAAGAAGGAGACGGAACGTCGCCAGCAAACTATACGACGTTGGCGTATTGTCCAACTCTGGATAATTCAGAGTAAAATGGAACACGAGACCCCCAAGAATTATGTTTGGGATGTATATGGAAACAATTCCGAGTAAGATTTTTGTCGCTTTTGACGCTCGTTCTCCAGATCCAGAACTTCCAAGGTTTGCTTGTCGTCTGATCTGTGAGAAAAATATCTACTCGCTTTAAGCCACTTTCTTACATAAATGCTTAAATTGATTTTATAGTTATATGTACCTTATATATCACGATGCAATTTACAACGACGACTAGTGGAAGTGGAATTGCGAATTCGAATGTAACATCGAGTATGTTCACTGCCGTAACGAGTGCAGGATTTTCTTCCGTTGCCATGTAAAGTACGAGCATTGGGAGTTTAACGCAGACTGTAAACAGCGCCACGGAACAAATCAAGATCTTTGTCGTTGTCATGGTGAACCATTGCGCGGCATGAAACGGCCAACTGACTGCCAGGAAACGCTCCATTGAAATAACCAAGGTGAACATAATGGATGCGAAATATGCTGCAAAAAAAGTTGGCGTTATCGTATGTACATAAGCGTATTTATTTACTAATGCTACGTTATACATACGCTTACCGAGGTTGAACAACCACGCAATGATGCCACCCGACCAAACATTCTCCGAGTCCCATGAACACGATATGTTGAGATACGAGAGGAACACGGGCACCCCGACGAACAAACTGTGAAACAAACACACCCCCAAGTCGCTCAGAGATAAAGAAATGAGCAAAAGATTGAACGGAGATTTCGTAAAACGAGACAAAACGAGTACACCCAACCCGTTGCCTGCAATACCCAAGATGGAAATTATGTTTAAAAAGACACCGTAAATTATAAATTCTGTGAGAACGTTTGGTTTTAGGGGGTTAGTCGAATTGGCGGAGATGTTCATATTTGGTACTAGTTCATTGTCCATTGCAGGATAATTTATGTATGAATGGTGCAAAAGTGACCGTCAAGTTCATAAGAGGAAAACTTTAAATAAAATCTTATTCCATGTTTGTGGTTTAGATGGTGGCTAAGATTAGAATGGGGTTCACTTCCTGGAAATAATTGTGCAGTATATTTAAGTGTATTTACATTTGATTTATTTAGGTATTTAACTTTTACCACGAATTACTATAAATTTATGGTTGGCACACTGATGGTATCCAATATTTCCATAAAAAACGGAAAAATATTAATATCTTTGGTAAAATTTTAGTTACCTTATTTTCAAATATTGTGTACAGGTTTCCTGAAACACAAGAACTAAAGTGCGTGCATAAATTTTAAGTGCATTCTGTAAATCGCTTTAAATAATCTTGGTAACCTTTGCTAAATAACTTTCATTCGTTATCGTGCATCAAGCATTTTGCACTCATTTTGGATATTTGTTACTAAACTCGGTAGGGTTGTGTCCCGCATCACAGCCTCTTCGACGCCTTGTAAGAATCCACTCTCATCTTCGATCTCTCCCCCCAAATAAATTGGGAGCAACTCTTTGTCCGGAACCATGTCATGAAGCGGTGTTGAATTTTTATGGACGACATGAATCTACAAATAAGATCAAACGCATAGTTTATGGTAACTTATTTTTTTACTCGTGTAACCCACTCACTAGTTTTCTATTCCGCGCCCGTATTGCAAATTTCAAAATATTAAACAACCTCTCCATGACTTGTCGACTGTTCATAATGACGCAACCCACAAATTTAAGTGGCATCACATTTAGTAAACAGTTGAGTTTTTTATACACATCAAACGATATTTGTTTAACGTGGGAGAATTCAATTCCATCGGCATCCATTACAAAAATGCCCCCGTTTCTCTGAACGGATATGTCCTTCGACGCTTCATAAATGTACAGGATTCCCGCGGCTATTGCCTCGTCGACGCTAACGTCGTTAGGATTCCAACGATCTGTGCATATGCATACGTCAATTTAAATTAATGGAGGTCGGGAAATGTCTTGGTACAACAGTACAGGAGACGTTTTGCCTACAATTGCATAAGTAATAATAGTAAATTGTGTTGAATAAAATGTAACATAAATTATTTAATATGCATGCGTACCACACGAAAGATCTTGTGTGGGTTGAACTTGAACGAGCGAACCATAATCAACACGGGCTCGTTTGTCCAGAATTTTATTAAGGGTTGTAAGTCCTCGTCGTCTATAAATATTTACATTCATGCAATTTCTAATACCAGTACCATACAAATATTCATGGGTGCATATGTTTTGAAATATGGTTTAATTTATTAATATTTTATAAGTGTGTAGATTAAAAGTTAATTAATTTGGCACCTACCGTTCATCAATTTGTGAACGAAACGTAAACATTCTGCTTCTTCTTTAGTAGTTCCTGGCTTTCACAAATTTCCATTTTACTTTTGCAAGACTTGGTGCTTGTAAACGGTTAGAGTGATTTTGATTAGCGATCAAATTGAGGATGAGTTAAGACAAATGCATCTACAATGCATCTGAGTATGTTCATCAAAGAAAATGACAATTTCTTTAATTTCAGTAGCAGACAATGCGCACAATACTCCTCCATAATATTTCTATTCGTGGCGAGTCTTTGCAACTTTGTCACGCAATGGTACCAGCAGAATCATGCCACTTTCTTCTGTTTCGCTTTGGGATAAATAACCATAAACCGAACAAGGTGTGCAATTATTCCGACCAAGCAAAAATTGCACATATAAGTATGCTTAACATAAATCTTCGTTTTCAGAAATCCCAAAAAGCAGCACAGGAAGTAAATCATGCTCCTTATTTGATTATTTGAGTACAAAATTTTTGTAACCTTGTAATTTTTCACCTACTGACTAAATTATGAGATGCACGAGAGATATACAATTCATTAAATATTGTAGCTTAATATGTAGAATTAAAGCTAACATATGAGAATACATATATGTATGAATTGGGATTTCTATATAGTCAACATGATTCTGAAATAGTTATGCAACATATTAACTTATGGAGGATGTACGAGTACAAATTACAGACTAAACTGGCGTATTTTCCCCACTGATAAACTATGTTTTTGGTTGGTGCATATTTATAAATATGTACATCATCTTCTGTACTACGGTGTACATAGGTTTGAAGTTTTATCAAAAATTGGACAAACAGGGATTCCTACCTTGACTGGGTTCTATGAAACCATGCGGAGAGAAAAATGTGCATGTTCTGATCATATCTTCACATTTAAGAGGTACTTGAATCCGCAGAATCATATTTTTCGAGACATTGTATCACATTTCATTATGCGCTGTTTTATTTCATGTTATTCTATTATGTACATTACTACGTATCACTTAGCTTTGCCAGCACATTCATTTTAATGACTCTTTTAGTTAAACCTGGTTAAACCTTAATTAGTTTTCTCATTTGAAAATTTGCAGCCGCTGCAGGTTGTACCGGCCGAAAAGGCATTTCGAAATTGTGCCACATCGATCAATATTGATCTTCAACACTAACATATAAAAACCCGAGACCAAAAAAGACCTTTTCAATTAGCCTATGCCGAATTTACGCATCGATCTAGTCGAAATCGAGGACCGAATCCAGAGCCACATAAATAAGTACATATATATTTAGATACATGTGTATTACTTACAATTATCATGCGTAAATGCAGACGATCAAATGAAAATTGCAGAACTAAAAATTTATAAATTTTATGTAAATATCTATGCATACATATGTATCCATCATATAAGTTAAAATTATACGATTCTATGTGTATGTATTGATTTGTGTAATGTGTAGTTTACAAAACCTAACACATAAATATTAACAGAGTACGTATAATATATATCAACAGAAAAACTAATTTCACTATAGCGAACTGCATATCGTATTATTCCGTAAACAAATATTTACAAGTACATTAATATTTTCGAGTTAAATTTTTCAAAAAAGTTCCCCAAGATTGCTTTAAATTATTCTTCACAAATACTTTCTGTCCTCAATACCGGCGGCTCATAATGCTATCATGCCCCTTTGGATGTACACGATTTCCTTGCATTGTTGGTCCAAACATGGAATATTGGTTTTTGAACCATGGAACTTGATTTGCATTTGGCATCTCGCCGTAGTAATTTTTTGGGGATGGTGCATAAAATGAGCGGTCATTTCGCAATATGGTGCCAGGGCTTTGATTTTGTGGGTTAACTTTCGACTTTTTGGAAAATATTTGAGCAATCTTCCAAAACAGAAGGTTAATCGGTTCGACGGCACTGATCACAGAAAGGCCAAGAAATAGACCAAGAATTCCCCCAATGTGTGCTGTGGTCACAAGAAACAGTTATGATGATAAATATTTGCAACTTAAATCATTGAGTACACATGTAGTTCAATTTTACCGAAAAAGTCGTTGGAATCGTACATATTTTTCCTAACCCTCGAGTAGACATTATCCGACCCAAAAAATACGTGAACAATTGATGCATTCGGACGAACAAAGTTATCCGGACTGAAGTAAAAATTAGGATTTAAGGAATATTACGAACAGCGTTATCTTTTACATATTTATTTACGTATTTCCTTCGTCCTCCTCGTCCAGCTCTACACGTATTGTGAAATCTTCCCTCAGTCGCAGAGACGATAACTGAGCAATGTACTCAATTTTATTGCAGGTCGGTTTACAATGTGGGCAAATTATCTCCGTTCCTACTTTGGATACATTTCCTGAAAATTCATAACCCGTAAAAAATGTTAAGAAAATTCTCAGGTCTCAATTTTCATATATAAGTAATTATGCCTACCCATCACGTGTCTTGCACATTTGAAAGCTGGTCCTTCACAATAAGTCACATTTTCGAAATCGACTGATGAAAACTTTACTGAAAGTAAAACAAAATGATTCCTTTTAATGTATTTTAAGTCATTCATGATATGTTTGTGATGTATGTGACATACACGCGAGGTCAAACCGGATACAATTGCAACCTTTCGCAATTTCTTCGGATAGACATTGGTCCAAACAGTTTGAAGCTGTGTAAAAGTTGAACGACTCCAGTCGGTGTTCGTCAGAGAAGTAACATTTCCGACGTTCCTAACAATAGTTAAAAAAAATTAATAATTCAGATGCCGCCTGAGGATCTAGTACTAAACGCTGCTTACAACATGCATAGCTCGGATGTCTTTCTCCGACTTGGTCACTTCTGCTTGAAGACTTAGGAACATTTCTGAATTTGGGGCAATTGCTACTCCAGATTCTGCGACGTGCGGCACCTCGATTAGCGAATGTGTGAGTACCTGAAGTTGGGAAGATCAATGTTACTGACAAGGGACACTCACGACCTGTCGTTTGAGTCCAGGGTACCCACAATGTTTTTCAGAATCTACTAGGACCCCAGATGAAGGATCCATTCATATTTCCGTGTAAAACTCGTATTTGGCGTCGTGCCGTGGCGCCAAAGTTGCCAAATTTGAATGTTTTTATTTTTGAAACCGCTATAACTTTTGAAATCCTGGACGGATTTTCAAAATATTTGGCAAACATCACAAGGAGTTAAACTTTCGTATCCAATCAAATTTTTTGAAAAGTTGTCGCTTTTAACTTTTCGCAAAATTTCGTAATTTTCTTTGAAATGGGGGTTCGTCGAAAAATGCTAAAAATATCTCAAAAATTATAATTTTTGTATTTTTATTTTTTTCTCTAAAAGTTCGACCTTTTTGATCATTTTAAGCATAAAATTTTGAAAATCAGACATAAACTGCAAAAGTTATGGGGGTTTGAAATTGGTCTAAAATGCAAATTTTTAAGTTTGGCGCCACGCTATGGCGCCAAATATGAGTTTTACACGGAAATATGAATGAATCCTTCATCTGGGGTCCTAGTAGATTCTAAAAAACACTAGTCTCTTAAGCCCGCAATGCGGGCTCTAAGCAAAAACATTTTATTCAGTTTTTGCGATACAAATGCCTCCTGAATAATTGTTAAACATTTATATTCACACAGAGCAAAGGAGCGTGAACTTGATTGTCACGTTGTATAGCACCATGTTTAATATGTTGAGTTCGTCACGTCACGATTCTAACTGGTATGACCACGGAAAACGTGCCGTCACAACTCTATGGGTGTGACCAAGAAAAACGTTCAGTCACGACTCTATGGGTGTTACCAAGAATAACGTTCGGTTACGAATCTAAAGGGTGTGACCACGAAAAACGTTCAGTCACGACTCTAAAGGGGGCAACCACGAAAAACGTTCAGTCATGACTCTAAACGGTGCGACCACGAAAAACGTTCAGTCACGACTCTATAGGTGTGGCAACGAAAAACGTTGAGTCACGACTCTAAAGGGGGTGACCACCAAAAACGTTCAGTCACGACTCTATGGGTGTGGCCACGAAAAACGTTCGGTCACGACTTTAAACGGCGCGACAACGAAAAACGTTGAGTCACGACTCTATGGGTGTGGCAACGAAAAACGTTCAGTGACGACTCCAGGGTGTGCCCGGCGTTCAAGCGTAGTCGATTCCAGGGAGTGTTTAATTGTTCTAACGTTTGAAATACGTGTCGGCACTTGAAGCGTAAGCCCGCCCTCTATCGCTGAAAAGCAACCAACGTCCGGTAGTTGGCGCTGGTAGGTAATTAAAATTAGTAAGGCACGGGTCAAGTGTCAACCATAGCGTGGGGTCACAGGTCAAGTGTCAACCCTTGGGGGTGGGCCGCGGTAAAATATTAAGTCTAGTGGGTGTGCCCAGGTCACAGGTCAAGTGTCAAGTCTTGTGGGTGTGCCCAGGTCACAGGTCACATGTCAAGTCTAGTGGGTGTGCCCAGGTCACAGGTCAAGTCTAGTGGGTGTGCCCAGGTCACAGGTCACATGTCAAGTCTTGTGGGTGTGCCCAGGTCACAGGTCACATGTCAAGTCTAGTGGGTGTGCCCAGGTCACAGGTCAAGTCTAGTGGGTGTGCCCAGGTCACAGGTCACATGTCAAGTCTAGTGGGTGTGCCCAGGTCACAGGTCAAATGTCAAGTCTAGTGGGTGTGCCCAGATCACAGGTCAAATGTCAAGTCTAGTGGGTGTGCCCAGGTCACAGGTCAAATGTCAAGTCTATTGGGTGTGCCCAGGTCACAGGTCAAGTCTAGTGGGTGTGCCCAGGTCACAGGTCAAATGTCAAGTCTAGTGGGTGTGCCCAGGTCACAGGTCAAATGTCAAGTCTATTGGGTGTGCCCAGGTCACAGGTCAAGTCTAGTGGGTGTGCCCAGGTCACAGGTCAAATGTCAAGTCTATTGGGTGTGCCCAGGTCACAGGTCAAGTCTAGTGGGTGTGCCCAGGTCACAGGTCAAATGTCAAGTCTAGTGGGTGTGCCCAGGTCACAGGTCAAATGTCAAGTCTATTGGGTGTGCCCAGGTCACAGGTCAAGTCTAGTGGGTGTGCCCAGGTCACAGGCCAAATGTCAAGTAAAGGGTGTGTTTCGTTGTTCTCGTGTTCGTCAACGTTTTTGGAACGTTTTGATACTTTAGCGAAAAACGCCCTCTAGAAAAGAAAAATGCAACATAGTGTCCAAACTGCCGCTAGGTGACGTTAGCTTGGACAATGTGAGACACGTGTGTAATCAAGCGCCAAGTTCAACTGGTAACACACACACACACACACACACACCACTGCACAATTCTTGGTTCTGATAGTGGGTATCCTGGACTCAAACGACAGGTCGTGAGTGTCCCTTGTGAGTAATTCACGCAGTTCCTGCTCAAATCCTATGTAACCAGCCAAAAATCCGTAACTTACAAATACCGATTTTAAAAAAATGTTACAAGTATTTGCAACGAAAATCAGGTTATAAATCCTTTTCAAACCTCCACAGGAATATTTTATGTAAAATTTGTAAGCGGTGTAAATATAGTTTAACAAAAGTTGCATATTTTATGATGGATTACAATGACTTTTTGAATTGTTATCTTAGCACAGAATGTTTAACTTGAGTGCATACCCTGAAACCAAAGGCGTCATGATTTGAGCAAAAGTACTCGTCCGCATCTGTATTTACGAGAAATGAAAGCCCCGAAGTTTGTCCGGCCTTCTTTTGAAACTTCACATATTTTTGGTATCCTTTATTCGTGTGGTGATTCGTTTCAAGCAGATTGTCCAGATTGAATGATTCCCAAAACCGTGTATCAGCCTCGTTCATCGGAGATCTTAAAAAGTTTGTCCTGTACAGATTTATGTAGGCGTGAAACACTTTTACAATTAGTAATTGATAATAACGAGGAGCGTTGCACATTCGTTTTGGACGCCCCTAGTACACTGACCTCCGTTAAGATGAAATTTTTAGCAATTTTTCGTTTAAAGCAGTGGTTTGTAAATATTTTCGTTTGAGTTATTTTCCTTAGAATGTGTAGAGACAGAAAGAGCTTAAGAACCATTTATGCATACGCATTAATTTGGTTTATCCGAGAGTTTGAAAAATTGGCTAAGGTGCATATGCCTATTCAAATTCTAACAGAAGTGAGATTGCAGGCATTTACCTCCTATTTTTAAACCGTAGTTCCTTGACATACATATTTTTCTTGGTCAGGAGTTAAATGCAAGTGCATATATATTTATCACGATTTTAGAGCAAAATTTCTTACAACAAATGCCAACGCTGTTGGGACGAAAAAATGTGGTGAATTTCAAAACTTGGATCCCAAGGCAGTGCTTCTAACTGCACTTTCTTCGTCTAAACGAATGCACAATGATCCTCGACCTCAACAATAGATTTGATTTTTCAATAGCTTAATTACTCATTTCTCAAAAGATAACCTCTCGGCACTGAATTAAACGTGCAACAAAGACCCATATCAGTCATAACAGGTTTGAAAATATCTTGACAAGTGGTGGCGTTCGGCTTCCTGCCCTCCCAAAGACATAATGGGATCATATCCGAACATGACTGAAATGACTGCAGAAAAATCAAAGTTTATGTAAAAAGTTTAAATGAAGCTTTCCATGGTAAAAATTATCACGTGGATTGGTTACATACCGTTGTGAACTGCAGCATGACATCATCCGAGAATTTGGTGGATGCTAAAATTCCAGTATGATTTCCACACCCGATGCCAAGTCTCTCGCAGGCATTGATCGTGGTTTCGTTGAGAGAGTAGTTGAAGTAAGTGGAGAAAGTGTTGCTCAAGCTGCAAACGTGGTCCAGTTGTCGTAAGACTAATTTTGCCATGGATACTTTTTCCGGGTCGTGTGAGGTGACGTCTCTATATGAGAAAATTTTGGTTACAAGCTTCTGCCATTGGAATGTGTCAGATTAATTGTAAGCTTACAACTTGCAAGGAATATTGGATGCAACTTATATTTTGATACGAATTAAATTATCTTGTGTAACAAATTTTATAAGTTGTTCCAACCTTAGATACATGTCCACGGAGGATTTCTTGAAACGATTTGAGCTGCAAACGGTTACTGCAGGAAATGGGACATCCATCACGGATGTCTGAGAAGGTTGAAATGAAACAATGATTGGGCTGGCGTTCCATTTTTCAATGATGCCATAAATCAAATATGCGGATGCGCCCAGAGAGGTGAGCAGAGTTATTAGCCAGCATATTCTGGAAGGAAAATTTAAGGATTTTTTATATGTGTTCGATATGTCTAAGTTCATGATGTAAATACCTTTCAATGTGTGGTCTTTTTCTCTGTGACAAATACTTGAGGCCATGAATTGTCGAATCTCTCAAAAATCTGAGACAAAGAGAATTTTCAGTATGATTTTGAGCATTGAAATGCATTGCTCAAGTTAAGATCTCGAGTAAGCTATGCTAGTTAAATTATGCAAATATGTATTTTTGTTAACTTTACAAGCTTCAAGTTCGAATAATGCCAAATAAATCTTGTATTCACAAACTCATGTATGGATACGCATATAAATATGTAAACCTGGATTAAGCGTATTGAAGTGATGAATAATTTAGCACTATTATAATTACAAATGGCAGAGAATTAATTGATAAGCCTAACCAAATAAGCAACGTGGAACATAATCAGATATCGATTTATTTTCACCTAAAAACATGCACACATTTGAGGAGGAATCGTATAACTAACAAAAATTTATGCATAAACTTCGATGTCATATCTTTATGAATTTATATTTGCATGAAATTGTGTACCATTGGTCAAATAGAGTTCGCTACATTATTAATCCGTTCGTATTGAGAAGGTGAATATCGATAGAAAAATTGCGCAAATGAAATAATGAGACATTTTAGCTTGATTATTGTATCCTCGTAAATCCGCATGTTCTCGATTAATCATGGA